GGCTCGGCAAGGGATTTTGTTACGGCGGCGTTCGAGGGTTGATCGAGAGACGTTGTAGACCCGTGCAGCTTGTCGAATAGAGAGTTTAGAGTCTTTTTAAATAGCTTGAAGAGCTGAGATTACATCAGCTTCATTTGATTTATTTCGAACCATGATGTGTTGTTTGTTAAAGGTTTTAATTTAATCAATTAAAGAGTGACGCGAGGTNGTGTTAGTTGGGGTATATGGTCGGAGCCGTGCAGGTCCCGCGGCGCGGGTATATGTCGGGGCTGGAGTGACGGGGAGGCCCAGACTAGGTCAATAGTACTAGGGCGCGAGGACCCGTGCCGGTCCCCTGGCGGTTCCCAGGTGAAGATACCGGGTGGTGTTACCAGTACAAGCCGGGCCTGTCCCGCGGCCGCGATAAGGTCCGAGGAGTCCCGGGTTTCGCGGCCGAAGAAGTCCCAGCTTGGGTGGTGGGCGTTAAAGTCACCGACAATGACATGTAGGGTTCTAGGAGAGAGATTGTTGAAGAGGGTGACTATGTCGAGGACGGAGATAGCTCCAGACCGGTACACATTGGTGACCGAGACGGAGCTGAAGCGGATAGTGGTAGAAAATGCTGTGGAGGACGAGCTCCAAGAGTGTGTAGGGTGGCGTTTATGTATATATGTGGCCGTGCCATTATCAGTGAAAACGACGTGGTAGTTCAACAGGGCCGACGCGGGGACGTGACTGGTCCGGGTCGGCTCCTGGAGAGCGANTTTCCTAGTTGTGCTTTACGCCCCTTTTGAGATCTTTCTGAGCTCGTTACGACCATTTCCGATGAAATCACACCCATTGCAAAGCCGGTCTCGTTAAAGTTGTAAATATCCGCTTCGTGTATACTATATTTCGCGATTGTGTTCTTCACAAGCTCGAACCAGGCTCGATATTTATCTGGATCTTCGCATTGGACTCTTTGATAGTCGATTTGACGTGATAAACGCGTGACGATTTCGGGGTGTTGTTTAATAAAGCTTGCAACCTAGTTCCGTCCAACTGGAATGTCGTAACATAGCTCTAGTAAGCGATTGGCTATAGCTTCAACGTCACGCAAGCGAGGAGGCTGAGCTCGGGAATCCAGCTTAAGGATATATTGAATTATTATATCCTCTTCTTTATTTGTTAATTTTCGGCAATTTAGAGTCGTATCGGCTCGACTAGCGATTTTAGTGCGGCGCGTTCGAGGGTCGATCGAGAGACGTTGTAGATCCGTGCAGCTTGTCGAATAGAGACATTAGAGTCTTTTTAGATAGCTTAAAGAGCTGAGATTACATCAGCTTCATTTGATTTATTCCGTACTATTATACGTTATTTATTGAAGGCTTTTATTCAGTTAATTAAAGAGTGACGCGAGGTAGCCCACTCGCTCGTATAGCCTACTCGCTCGTAAACTACGTTAATAGTTATAATATTAAAAAGTTACTATACTATATAGTTACTTACTAGCTAGTAAATAAAGAAGTTTTAATAACAAGTATTTACTAGCTAGTAAAGGAACTCTACTAGCTAGTAGAACTATAATAATCTTATATAATGTAGTTCACGGGTGAGCGGCCCACACGAGTGAGCGGTCTACCCAAAAACACATACAAATTAATACAATTTTAATTCCGCTAATAAATCTAGTTTAAATATATTAATACTATAAAAATATTCTATAATAAAGAAAAATTAGTTTTCTTAATCGATTTTAATCCTAAAAAATATAGCTAATTTAAAACATAGTTAGTTATTAAAAGTGAGAATATTTGGACCCACTTTTCCTATCTAGCTATATTCTACTTATTAAAACTCTCTAAGATTTAAAATTAACTAAGAAATCTATTTTTTATTTATTATATAATATTTTAGTAGGATTAATATATTTAAACTAGATTTATTAAAGGAATTAAAATTGTATTAATTTGTATATGTTTTTAAATAGGCTACTTACTCGTGTAAGCTACTCACTTGTAAACTATGTTATAAATAAAGAAGTAAACTAAAAAAAAAAGAGGAGAGATTTATACTTCTTTAAGTTTATTATCTTCTTTTTTTTATCTTATATATAAAATAATTAATAATAGTATTATATTTAGTAAACTTTTCTTATAATATTTAGATAGTTATATAATAGATAATTAAGAGTTATTTAAGACTTTATAAGCTTTAGCTCGTTATATTAAAATAATATTTATCTTTTATATTATTAATTCTAATATTATTAACGTAATTCACGAGCGAGTAGGCTATATAAGCGAGTGAGCTACTTAAAAACATATATAAATTAATACAATTTTAATTCTACTATAAATTCTAATTTAAATATATAAATATTATAAAAATACTCTATAATAAAGAAAAATTCACTTTTATAATGAATTTTAATTTAAAGAAATAACGTAGTTCACGGGTGAGCGGCCCACACGGGTGAGTGGCCCACCTCGCGTCATGATTTAATTGATTACCTTCAACCAACAAATTCACAACCAATAATAATGGGAAAGACCTCAAATGAAGCTGACATCGTATCTGCTATCGAAGTATTAAAACGAGATAATAAACTGACTGTTCGAGAGGTTGCACGTATCTATAACGTGCCTCGAACAACACTTCGCCGTCGACGCAACAAAATCCCTTGTCGAGCTGATACAACTTTAAAAAGCCGAAAATTTACAAATGAAGAAGAAAATACAATAATTCAATATATTCTCGAACTAGATTCTCGAGCTTAGCCTCCTCGCCTCCGTGACGTTGAAGCTATAGCGAATCGCTTATTAAAGCTGTGTCACGACATTCCAGTTGGACGGAACTAGGTTACAAGCTTTATTAGACGACACCCCGAAGTTGTTACGCGTTTATTACGTTAAATCGACTATAAAAGAGTCCGATACGAAGATCCAGATAAATATCGAGCCTGGTTTGAGCTTATAAAGAACACAATCGTGAAATATAGCATATACGAAGCGGATATTTACAACTTTGACGAGGCTAGCTTTATAATAGGCGTGATTTCATCGGAAATAGTTGTAACAAGCTTAGAAAGATCTCAAAAGGGGCGCAAAGTACAATAAGGAAATAAATAATAGGCGACTTTAATTGAATATATTAGTACAAGTGGCTATATAATTCCTCCTTTCGTTATTATCGCGGGCAAAACCCACCTCTCGTCTTGGTATAAAAATAGCCTATTACCTAGTAATTAGGCGATTAGTGTTACTGAAAATAGCTAGAATATAAATGAGAGATGCTTAGATTGGCTCTATTATTTTCAAAAGTATATAATTAAGCAAAAAAAAGGCAAATATCGGCTTCTAATTCTTAATAGACACGAAAGTTATTAATCGACGGATTTTCAACTATATTGCTAGTAAAACGATATAATTACATTATATATACTATCCTATACGTTATATAAGCTTCAACTGCTCGATGTAGCCTGTTTTGAACCTTTAAAACAAGTATATAATAATATAATTAGTGATCTTATATACGTATATATTACTTATATTACTAAGGAAGAATTCTTCCTAGCTCTTTACGTAGTATATAAGGCTACTATAACTAAATTAAATATACTAGAAGGGTTTAGAGGCGCTAGGCTTGCTCTATTTAATCTAGAATATATAATTTTAGAATTAGATACGAAATTCTCGACACTTTCACCTCCTGGATCATCGAATAAGCTCGAGTTACCTTAGCTTCTCAAAACATCTAGCAATATAACCGAAGCTCTATCGTAAGCAGAATATATTAAAAAAAGAATCCGAAATTATCGAAGTAGCTTACTATTCGATTTAATTAAGAATCTTAATTAAATGTCAAAGTATATAACTAGTACTATATAGAAGATAGTCCTAATATAGTATCGAATCGATGAGCTTGAAGAGGCTAATAACTGCTTCTTACGACAGAAACTCGTTATAAAAAGACAATTATAAAATAGAAGAATACTTATAGTAGATTCTAGTAAAAATCTAGCTACTTAAACCTCTTCTAGGGTAAAAAGAGAACACGACGAAGTTGAAAGTACAAGTCGACAGAAGCAGGTAGAAACACAACGTAGATACTGTGGAAAATACAACGAAATAGGCTATAATTCTAAAATATATAAAAATAAAGTAGAAACTATTTCTTTAGATAGCTTAGTTTAGATTTTAAATTTTAATTATTATTTAGTTATACTATATATATTTTTGTAGTATAAAGTCGAGGAAGGTAGGCTACTCACCTGTATAAGCCGCTCACTCGTGAACTATATTATAACTAATATAGTTTATAGATAAGCGGCTTATATAAGTGAGTAGTCTATCTAAAAACATATATAAATTAATACAATTTTAATTCCTCTAATAAATCTAGTTTAAATATATTAATCCTATTATTATTATTATTATTATTATTAGGCTAATGGAAGCTATCTAGCTTATCTAGCTCTAACTATATATATTATAGGGGAAAAACAAAGAAAAACCCTATATTTGGGTTGGCCGCGGTGGGTCTATGCCGGTGTCGTGGAGGGTCCAGGCCGGAGACGACACTGGACCGGTTAGTAGGAGACAAAGGTTAGTAATACAAGAAGAGAAACAAATATACAGGTAAACAAAACTATAAAGAACGAATAAGGAAATAGTGATATCAGTTAGTTGTTGCTTGTCCAGGTCGGCCATCGTGGGTCCGGTGCGCTGCCGTGAGGTAGCCGATTCGGCCTGTGTCTAGTAGCCATCGCGCTAGTCGCGCGGCCTCGTCGGGTTCGTCGAGAGCTCGGCGAACAGCCGCCTCAGTCGACAGCGACGGGCGGTCGTAGAGTTCGCAGTGTAAGATCATATGGAACACGGTCTCCCGCCCGGATCCACAGCGGCACAGAGGCGATACCAGGTCGGGTACACGCCGGCTGAATAGGAAGTCGTTTAGGCCAATCTTTCCAGTTCTCATCTGCAGCACCAAGGAGGAGATGTGTTTTGGGGTGTTCCCGCCCCGGTAGGGCGCCGGCAGGCNCGTCCTCCGATGACGCGAAGGGGGCAGGCTGTCTATAGGACTAGTAGGCGCGGCAGATACGATTGAAATATACCTCGGCGATACGAAGAAACACCTCGTACTGTTCGCTAAGATACCTCGCGATTGCCTTTTCGGGCTCGGGTGTCAGCCGAGCTCGAAGGGCGGGAGGGATCTTGCGGCAGTAGAAGATATATGTTGGGGTCTTCTCTCGCCCACAGGGACATTCAAGTATCGTGTTGTGATGGTGAAACCGTTCGTGGTACGTAGCGAAGTCGCCATGGTTGGTGCGTGCTGCCAGCAGGAAGCGGAGTTGTTTTCTAGGAACCTCGAGCTCAGGCAGCTTTGAGAGGTCAGCCTTGATATTTGGTGTTTGCCTCCGGTAAGTAGCTTTCTCTATACTATTCCACCAGTCGAGAAAGTACTGGCGGGGGAGCTGCCGAACTGCTCTGTGTGTCTGCGAGATGGATGGGGCCATCATGCGGACTGGGAGAGATGCGCCCTCCTTTGCCAGTTTGTCCGCTTTTTCGTTTCCAGGTATATCCTTGTGCCCGGGTGTCCACCGGACCGTGATACGCCCCGGATATTTGTCTCCCAAGGCCTGGATTTTAAGGAAGTAGTCTTGAGACGAGGTAGGGGCGGTGCCGCTAATACCTCGAACAACAGCAAGATTGTCTATACAGATGGTGATCGGCAAGTTGTCGGAGTTGTCTTTTAAGATAGCTTTCAGGCCGTAGAAGGCTCCTGTTGATTGATTTTAGTTTTTGATTTGATTTGATTTGATGTATTTTCCGTCTATAATAGCCTGCAGTGGCATTGAGACGTGCTGGTCAACAGTGCCTTTACTAAGTAGAATTTNGCTGGACCGGTTAGTAGGAGACAAAGGTTAGTAATACAAGAAGAGAAACAAATATACAGGTAAATAAAGCTATAAAGAACAAACAAGGAAATAGTAGTATCAATTAGTCGTTCCCTGTCCAGGTCGGCTGTCGTGGGCCCGGTGCGCTGCCGTGAGGTAGCCGATTCGGCCTGTGTCTAGTAACCATCGCGCTAATCGCGCGGCATCGTTGGGTTCATCGAGGGCCCGGCGAACAGCCGCCTCGGTCGACGGCAACGGACGGTCGTAGAGCTCGCAATGTAAGATCATGTGGAACACGGTCTCCCGCCCGGATCCGCAACGGCATAGAGGCGATGCCAGGTCGGGTACGCGCCGGCTAAACAAGAAGTCGTTTAGGCTAATCTTTCCAGTCCTTATCTGCAGTACTAAGGAGGAGATGTGTTTCGGGGTGTTCCCTCCCCGGTAGGGCGCCGGCAGGCGGCCAGTACGGAGCCGAGGCGGGAGCTCTGAGCAGTTCGACGGTCGGTGGCCTTGTGCACCGCTCCGGCGGGAGAGCCGTGTAGACTCCTGGTGTAGCCAGTGCTGCTGCCAGCGCTCGTTCAGCTGCTTGGAGAGGGATTTGCGATCGAGGGCCGGTCCGGCCCCGAGAAGGTCGCGGCTATACTGACGGTGGTAGTCCTCGAGGGGGCGACGGTAGCGCTGGCGACGAGGAAGCCGCTGGAGGCCCGCCACCGCGGCAGACACGGCGCGGACCCTCGCAAGGGTCCCGTTATTCTTGAACCGCGCAAGGGAGCGTTCGCTACGGTAGGTCATATATAGGTGGAGGGGCGGGATTTGAAGCTCAGCCTCTAGGTGGTGCGCTGGTGTGGCCCTGAAAGCCCCGGCCAGGAGCCGGAGCATATCGTGCTGGGTACCACTCATGGTGCGTGCCGGTCCTAGAGGGATATCCCCAGGCTTGTGGAAGAGAACTGACCTATACGTAAGGATAGCGCGGTGAACCATTGTGTAGATAAGGCGAGCGTTCTCGAGCCGGGTCCCCCACGCCATCCGGCCGGTGCCGCTCAGGGCCCCGGCAGCTCGGGCAGCGCGGGCCTTGGCTTCGCGTGCGTGGTATTCCCACGTGAGCTTCCGATGGAAGTAGAACCCGAGGAAGCGCGCTGCTTCCGTAGGCGGCTGCGACACGGGGCCGAGTTGGACACTAGTGGTAAGAGGGGAGTGGGCGCGAGTGAAGTGGGTGATAGTTGTCTTGGCTGCTGCGAAGGTAGCGCCGTGCGCGTCCGCCCAGGACGCACAGCGGGTCCAGGCTTCCTCTAGTAAACGGACGACGCCTGCGTACGTAGGAGCAATAGCGACAATATTGCTATCATCGGAGAACCCGATAAGTTGGATACCAGGGATGTTGGATAGATAGTAATATAAGATTAAGATGTAGAGAATGAAGAGGATAGGCGAGATAGGGGACCCTTGGGGGCTCCCGCATCGGAGTCGGAACAAACCTATAGAGACCCCGTCGATAACAAGATACGTGGAGCGATCATCGAGGAAGGAGCTGATAAGGTTAAGCGCGGCCGGGTCGGCTCCGAGGTGGGCGAGGATCTCAAGTAGGCACTCGTGTGGCATGGCGTCGAAGGCACCTGCTATGTCTAGCTGCATCAGCGAGATCGCTAGAGCGCGGCCCCATGCAGTTTGTATAAGTTCTTTGAGTAGGAAGGCGGCTGACTCCGTGCCGCGCCCGCGCCGGTTCCCCATCTGGCCCTCTAGGAGGGCGCCAGCCACTTCTGCCGCGAAGGCGAGCCGGTCGGCTATGATTTTCTCGAGGAGCTTGCCTATTGTGTTAAGAAGAGTAATCGGTCGCCATCCGCCAGCGGTGCGGAGAGCGGCTGAAGACCGGCCGGGCTTGGGGATGACAACGGTAGCTCCGGCCCGGTACCGGTATGGATAGTATCCACCTTGGAGGCAGGCATTGAAAATAATAGACAGGGTGGCTACTAATGGGTCGCCGCACGCTTTCAAGAAGCCGTAAGGGATCCTGTCTGGGCCCGCGGCGTTCCACGACCGGCACCGATTTAGAGTAGCACGTACTTCATCATCGTCAATAGGGTCAGCGAGACCTTCGAGCGCACAACGTGGGCCCTGCCAGGGGCTCGAGGGCGGGAGGTTAGGAGCAGGGGGAAGAACTTCGCGGCGAATACTGATGCCTTCTCCTCGATGGATTCTATATATACTATAATAAGTATTAGTAAAACGTTAGTATATAATAGAAATATTATTACTTAAGTACTAGTATTTATATAGTTAAACTAATTAAGAAGAATACTATAGCTAGTATAATATAAGAAAACTATAGTTATAATAGTATAAATATTATTTAAGCTACTAACTCTACTAGTTATTTAATTTATATAACTAAGTATTATCGAGAAATAAAGAGGATTTATAATTTCTAGTATATTAATTATAATATATTAGCTATTATTACAAGTAGTTATCTTATAATATTTATATAGAATTAGTAATATAAAATAAAATATTCTTAGTATTTAATATAGTTAATATAAAGTTAATATATAACTTAACTATATAAATAATAGACTAATCTAGAGTAAAAGAGGTATTTTTAACTACTAAGTGCTAAAATCTAAACTTTTATCTTTTTATAATCTAGTATAATAGCTAATAATACTTGATTTTACGAGTAGTAATAACCTAGAGTAGCTTATTTTATAAGATTATACTAAGGTTTTTAACTAGTATTAAGATAAATATTTATATAAATAAATAAATAATAGTAAGTTATTCTTTAAGAGTAGAAATAACTAATATAAAAAAATATACTACTAAAACTATAATATAAATATAACGTGGGTCACGGGTGAGCGGCGCACCTTGCGTCATTTTTTAATTGATTATGTTTAAACCGTAATTCCACAACCAACAATCATGGGAAAGACTTCAAACGAAGCTGATGTTATTTCGGCTCTACAAGCTATAGAGCGAGACCCAAAATTATCAAATCGAGAGGCTGCTCGAATCTATAATATCGCCGAAACAACACTCCGCCGCCGACGCAACAAAATCCCTTGCCGAGCTGATACGACTTCAAAATCTCGAAAATTAACAATTGACGAAGAAAATACTATAATTCAATATATTCTCAATCTTGATGCTAGAGCTCAGCCTCCTCGCCTCCGTGACGTTGAAGCTATGGCGAATCGCTTTTTGGAGCTGCGTCACGACATTCCAGTTGGACGGAACTGGGTTGCAAGCTTTATTAGACGACACCCCGAAGTTGTTACGCGTTTATCACGTCAAATCGACTATTAAAGAGTCCGATGCGAAGATCCAGATAAATATCGAGCCTGGTTTGAGCTTGTAAAGAACACAATCGCGAAATATGGCATATACGAAGCGGATATTTACAACTTTGACGAGACTGGCTTTGCAATGGGCGTGATTTCACCGGAAATGGTTGTAACGAGCTCAGAAAGATCTCAAAAGGGGCGCAAAGCACAACTAGGAAATAAACAATGGGCGACTTTGATTGAATACATCAGTGCAGGTGGCTACATGATTCCGCCCTTTGTCATTGTCGCGGGCAAAACCCACCTCTCGTCTTGGTACGAAAATAGCCCATTGCCCAGCAATTGGGCGATTGGTGTTACTGAAAATGGCTGGAATACGAATGAAAGATGCTTAGATTGGCTCTATTATTTTCAAAAGTATACAATTAAGCAAAAAAAAGGCAAATATCGGCTTCTAATTCTTAATAGACACGAAAGTCACCAATCGACGGATTTTCAGCTATATTGCCAGCAAAACGATATAATTACATTATGTATACCGTCCCATACGTTATATAAGCTTCAACCGCTTGATGTGGCCTGTTATGGACCTCTAAAACAAGCATATAATAATGTAATTAGTGATCTTATGCGCGCATACGTTACCTATATTACTAAGGAAGAATTCTTCCTAGCTCTTTACGCAGCACATAAAGCTACTATGACTGAATCAAATATACTAGGAGGTTTTAGAGGCACTAGGCTTGCCCTATTCAATCCAGAATATGTGATTTCACAATTAGATACGAAATTCTCGACATCTTCACCTCCTAGATCATCGGATAGGCTCGAGCTACCTTGGCTTCCCAAAACACCTAGCAACCCAAACGAAGCTCTATCGCAAACAGAATATATTAAAAAAAGAATCCGAAATCATAGAAGCAGCTCACCATCCGATTTAATTGAGAATCTTAATCAAATGTCAAAGTGCACAACCAGTGCTATACAGAAGATGGTCCTAATGCAGCACCGAATCGATGAGCTTGAAGAGGCTAATAACCGCCTCTCACGACAGAAACGCGTTACGAAAAGACAATTACAGAGTGGAGGAACACTTACAGTAGATTCTGGCAAAATCTAGCTGCTCAAGCCTCTTCTAGAGTAAAAAGAGAACGCGACGAAGTTGAAAATATAGGTCGACGGAAGCGGGTGGAAACACGGCGCAGACGCTGTGGAAAATGCAGCGAAATAGGACATAATTCTAGAACATGTGAAAATGAAGTGGAAACCATTTCTTCAGATAGCTTATATTAAAAATTTTATTTTTAATTGTATTTAGAGTTGATGCACTATTCTTTATATACCAACGTCGGGAAGGGTACGCCGCTCACCCGTAACCCACGTTATAGGTTTATCTAGATCTAAATAGTTTATATTAATAATATAAAATATTAATATTTTTTTAATTATTCTTCTATTCACTTTATTTATTTATTAACTTTTAACCTTTTTAATTATTTCTTAACTCTTTATTTTAATATATAATTAAAAGTTAAGATACTATTAATATAGTTATATAAAACACTTATTAAAATAACGTTAGGTTTAATTATATTTATAATATTTAATATAGTTTATAAGTGAACGGTTTACACGAGTAAATAGCCTACCTTGTATTATAATATAATTAATTACCTTTAACTAATAATTTTATAACTAATAATAATAGAAAAAACCTGTAACGGTCTCAACTGAGTATATTAACAACTAGCTGAGCGACTACTACGAGTATCCGAAGATGAAGAAGAAGGGATCGAAAAGGGGCTATTCCAGCTAGCTGGAATAGCCTTTTATATGANGGGTTGAAGTTGATGTTCTCGGTAGTAGTACATCGTCCAAATAGCAGCGTCATTAAGTTCTCTGACTGACGTAGAACTTATATCGACTGTAGGTGGCGTGTGTTCTCGCCAATCTTCTGAAATCCATTGTGAATACCTTTCCAATCCAGCAGGTATCTTCAGTGGTGTTGGGGTGTCGGAGAGGGGAGGTTCGTCAGGGGGGGGTGAGGAGGTTGGCATCGAGCCTGCCATGCGCTCCATAATTTCCTGGTGATCCGATCCAAGATCTTTAGGGAGGCGATCAAGCAGTCCCTTCTAATCTCAATCTTCACAGAAATTGTTTTCTCGTGATGGACGATGGAAGATCGTGCATCGAAGAAGGGGCGGGCAAACGCAGCAACTTCGAAGCAATTTCTTCGGGTAAGCACAGGAAAAATTGATCCTGTCTCTTCTTGCCCTTCCTGTCTGTGGTTGTAGAGCAACCACTGATCAGTGTTGGTTCAAGGCTTAATAACACGTGTTATCGAAAGGTGAGAGGTTGTGGTAAAAGTTCGTTGTTCTCTTCTAGTTCCATGGTCGGAACTGCTCTAGTTAAATACAGCGAATACATCCTGTATTCACTTCCTTTTCCTATGTCATCCACTTCCAGTGACTTAACTGTTCCTTCACTCATCCGGTAAAGTGACATACGTCCAATGTCACAATAGTCACAACAAGAAGAGTACTTCTAAGAACACGCGAAGAAAGACTCTATAATATTACGATTATAATAAATTAAGTAATCCTTCGATTTACCTAGGAGCAACTATCGAAGTTTCGAGGGAAGCTTTAATAATAAACTCCTTTATAAGAAAATTAAGAGGAAATTCTACTTAGTAGAGGTACTATTAACTAGTATATCTCTATACTACTATAGGCTATTATAAATAGAAAATATATTAAATTAAATTAAATTAAAATTATATAAGGCTTACTTTTTAAATAAGAAGTATTAATAAGCTCTCGAGGAATATCTTAAAGAAAACTTAAGAAAAGAATATATATAATATAGTTTACAGGTAAACAGCCTATATAGGTGAGTAGCCTACCTTCCTCGACCTTACACTACGAAAATATATATAGTACAACTAAATAATAATTAAAATTTAAAATCTAAACTAAGCTATTTGAAGAAATAGTTTCTACTTTATTTTTACATGTTCTAGAATTATAGTCTATTTCGCTGCATTTTCCATAGCGTCTACGCTGTGTTTCTACCCGCTTCTATCGACTTGTACTTTCAACTTCGTCGTGTTCTCTTTTTACCCTAGAAGAGGTTTAAGCAGCTAGATTTTTGCTAGAATCTACTATAATTATTCCTCTACTTTATAATTGTCTTTTTATAACACGTTTCTATCGTAAGAGGCGGTTATTAGCCTCTTCAAGCTCATCGATTCGATACTACATTAGGACTATCTTCTATATAACACTAGTTGTACACTTTAATATTTGATTAAGATTCTCAATTAAATCGAATAGTAAGCTACTTCGATAATTTCGGATTCTTTTTTTAATATATTCTGCTTGCGATAGAGCTTCGGTTGCGTTGCTAGATGTTTTAGGAAGCTAAGGTAGCTCGAGCTCATCCGATAATCCAGGAGGTGAAGGTATCGAGAATTTCGTATCCAATTCTGAAATTATATATTCTAGATTAAATAGGGCAAGCCCAGCGCCTCTAAACCCTTCTAGTATATTTGATTCAGTTATAGTAGCCTTATATACTACGTAAAGAGCTAGGAAGAATTCTTCCTTGGTAATATAGGTGACATATACGCGTATAAGATCACTAATTACATTATTATATACTTGTTTTAGAGGTTCGAAACAAGCCACATCGAGCGGTTGAAGCTTATGTGACGTATAGGACGGCATATATAATGTAATTATATCGTTTTACTAGCAATATAGCTGAAAATCCGTCGATTGGTGACTTTCGTGTCTATCAAGAATTAGAAGCCGATATTTGCCTTTTTTTTGCTTAATTGTATACTTTTGAAAATGATAGAGCTAATCTAAGCATCTCTCATTTGTATTCTAGCTATTTTCAGTAACACTAATCGCCTAATTGCTAGGTAATAGGCTATTTTCGTACCAAGACGAGAGGTGGGTTTTACCCGCGACAATAACGAAAGGAGGAATTATATAGCTACTTGTATTGATACATTCAATCAAAGTCGCCCATTGTTTATTTCCTTGTTGTACTTTGCGCCTCTTTTGAGATCTTTCTGAGCTCGTTACAACTATTTCCGATGAAATCACGCCCATTGCAAAGCCAGTCTCGTCAAAGTTGTAAATATCCGCTTCGTATATGCTATATTTCGCGATTGTGTTCTTTACAAGCTCAAACCAGGCTCGATATTTATCTGGATCTTCACATCGGACTCTTTTATAGTCGATTTAACGTGATAAACGCGTAACAACTTCGGGGTGTCGTCTAATAAAGCTTGCAACCTAGTTCCGTCCAACTGGAATGTCGTGACGCAGCTCTAATAAGCGATTCGCTATAGCTTCAACGTCACGGAGGCGAGGAGGCTGAGCTCGAGAATCTAGTTCGAGAATATATTGAATTATTGTATTTTCTTCTTCATTTGTAAATTTTCGGCTTTTTGAAGTCGTATCAGCTCGACAAGGGATTTTGTTGCGTCGACGGCGAAGTGTTGTTCGAGGCACGTTATAGATACGTGCAGCCTCTCGAACAGTCAGTTTATTATCTCGTTTTAATGCTTCGATAGCAGATACGATGTCAGCTTCATTTGAGGTCTTTCCTATTATTATTGGTTGTGAATTTGTTGGTTGAAGGTAATCAATTAAATCATGACGCGAGGTGGACCACTCACCCGTGTGGGCCGCTCACCCGTGAACTACGTTAACTATTAAAATTACTTATAGAATATTCTATTCTATTTATATTAAAGAAAAATAATAAATAGAGACTTTATATAGACTATTAATAGCTTAATAGTATTATTATTAAAAACGAATAACGTAATTCACGAGTAAGTAGTCTATATAGGTGAGTAGCTTATCTAAAAACATATATAAATTAATATAATTTTAATTCCGCTAATAAATCTAGTTTAAATATATTAATACTATAAAAATATTCTATAATAAAAAAATTAGTTTTCTTAATCGATTTTAATCCTAAAAAATATAGCTAATTTAAAATATAGTTAACGTGGTTTACAGGTAAGTAGCGTATACAGGTGAGCGGTATAGTTAAAAATATATATAAATTAATACAATTTTAATTCCACTAACAATTCCAATTTAAATTATTATTATTATTATTATTAGGCTAATGGAAGCTATCTAGCTTATCTAGCTCTAACTATATATATTATAGGGGAAAAACAAAGAAAAACCCTATATTTAGGTTGGCCGCGGTGGGTCTATGCCGGTGTCGTGGAGGGTCCAGGCCGGAGACGACGCTGGACCGGTTAGTAGGAGACAAAGGTTAGTAATACAAGAAGAGAAACAAATATACAGGTAAATAAAGCTATAAAGAACAAACAAGGAAATAGTAGTATCAATTAGTCGTTCCCTGTCCAGGTCGGCTGTCGTGGGCCCGGTGCGCTGCCGTGAGGTAGCCGATTCGGCCTGTGTCTAGTAACCATCGCGCTAATCGCGCGGCATCGTTGGGTTCATCGAGGGCCCGGCGAACAGCCGCCTCGGTCGACGGCAACGGACGGTCGTAGAGCTCGCAATGTAAGATCATGTGGAACACGGTCTCCCGCCCGGATCCGCAACGGCATAGAGGCGATGCCAGGTCGGGTACGCGCCGGCTAAACAAGAAGTCGTTTAGGCTAATCTTTCCAGTCCTTATCTGCAGTACTAAGGAGGAGATGTGTTTCGGGGTGTTCCCTCCCCGGTAGGGCGCCGGCAGGCGGCCAGTACGGAGCCGAGGCGGGAGCTCTGAGCAGTTCGACGGTCGGTGGCCTTGTGCACCGCTCCGGCGGGAGAGCCGTGTAGACTCCTGGTGTAGCCAGTGCTGCTGCCAGCGCTCGTTCAGCTGCTTGGAGAGGGATTTGCGATCGAGGGCCGGTCCGGCCCCGAGAAGGTCGCGGCTATACTGACGGTGGTAGTCCTCGAGGGGGCGACGGTAGCGCTGGCGACGAGGAAGCCGCTGGAGGCCCGCCACCGCGGCAGACACGGCGCGGACCCTCGCAAGGGTCCCGTTATTCTTGAACCGCGCAAGGGAGCGTTCGCTACGGTAGGTCATATATAGGTGGAGGGGCGGGATTTGAAGCTCAGCCTCTAGGTGGTGCGCTGGTGTGGCCCTGAAAGCCCCGGCCAGGAGCCGGAGCATATCGTGCTGGGTACCACTCATGGTGCGTGCCGGTCCTAGAGGGATATCCCCAGGCTTGTGGAAGAGAACTGACCTATACGTAAGGATAGCGCGGTGAACCATTGTGTAGATAAGGCGAGCGTTCTCGAGCCGGGTCCCCCACGCCATCCGGCCGGTGCCGCTCAGGGCCCCGGCAGCTCGGGCAGCGCGGGCCTTGGCTTCGCGTGCGTGGTATTCCCACGTGAGCTTCCGATGGAAGTAGAACCCGAGGAAGCGCGCTGCTTCCGTAGGCGGCTGCGACACGGGGCCGAGTTGGACACTAGTGGTAAGAGGGGAGTGGGCGCGAGTGAAGTGGGTGATAGTTGTCTTGGCTGCTGCGAAGGTAGCGCCGTGCGCGTCCGCCCAGGACGCACAGCGGGTCCAGGCTTCCTCTAGTAAACGGACGACGCCTGCGTACGTAGGAGCAATAGCGACAATATTGCTATCATCGGAGAACCCGATAAGTTGGATACCAGGGATGTTGGATAGATAGTAATATAAGATTAAGATGTAGAGAATGAAGAGGATAGGCGAGATAGGGGACCCTTGGGGGCTCCCGCATCGGAGTCGGAACAAACCTATAGAGACCCCGTCGATAACAAGATACGTGGAGCGATCATCGAGGAAGGAGCTGATAAGGTTAAGCGCGGCCGGGTCGGCTCCGAGGTGGGCGAGGATCTCAAGTAGGCACTCGTGTGGCATGGCGTCGAAGGCACCTGCTATGTCTAGCTGCATCAGCGAGATCGCTAGAGCGCGGCCCCATGCAGTTTGTATAAGTTCTTTGAGTAGGAAGGCGGCTGACTCCGTGCCGCGCCCGCGCCGGTTCCCCATCTGGCCCTCTAGGAGGGCGCCAGCCACTTCTGCCGCGAAGGCGAGCCGGTCGGCTATGATTTTCTCGAGGAGCTTGCCTATTGTGTTAAGAAGAGTAATCGGTCGCCATCCGCCAGCGGTGCGGAGAGCGGCTGAAGACCGGCCGGGCTTGGGGATGACAACGGTAGCTCCGGCCCGGTACCGGTATGGATAGTATCCACCTTGGAGGCAGGCATTGAAAATAATAGACAGGGTGGCTACTAATGGGTCGCCGCACGCTTTCAAGAAGCCGTAAGGGATCCTGTCTGGGCCCGCGGCGTTCCACGACCGGCACCGATTTAGAGTAGCACGTACTTCATCATCGTCAATAGGGTCAGCGAGACCTTCGAGCGCACAACGTGGGCCCTGCCAGGGGCTCGAGGGCGGGAGGTTAGGAGCAGGGGGAAGAACTTCGCGGCGAATACTGATGCCTTCTCCTCGATGGATTCTATATATACTATAATAAGTATTAGTAAAACGTTAGTATATAATAGAAATATTATTACTTAAGTACTAGTATTTATATAGTTAAACTAATTAAGAAGAATACTATAGCTAGTATAATATAAGAAAACTATAGTTATAATAGTATAAATATTATTTAAGCTACTAACTCTACTAGTTATTTAATTTATATAACTAAGTATTATCGAGAAATAAAGAGGATTTATAATTTCTAGTATATTAATTATAATATATTAGCTATTATTACAAGTAGTTATCTTATAATATTTATATAGAATTAGTAATATAAAATAAAATATTCTTAGTATTTAATATAGTTAATATAAAGTTAATATATAACTTAACTATATAAATAATAGACTAATCTAGAGTAAAAGAGGTATTTTTAACTACTAAGTGCTAAAATCTAAACTTTTATCTTTTTATAATCTAGTATAATAGCTAATAATACTTGATTTTACGAGTAGTAATAACCTAGAGTAGCTTATTTTATAAGATTATACTAAGGTTTTTAACTAGTATTAAGATAAATATTTATATAAATAAATAAATAATAGTAAGTTATTCTTTAAGAGTAGAAATAACTAATATAAAAAAATATACTACTAAAACTATAATATAAATATAACGTGGGTCACGGGTGAGCGGCGCACCTTGCGTCATTTTTTAATTGATTATGTTTAAACCGTAATTCCACAACCAACAATCATGGGAAAGACTTCAAACGAAGCTGATGTTATTTCGGCTCTACAAGCTATAGAGCGAGACCCAAAATTATCAAATCGAGAGGCTGCTCGAATCTATAATATCGCCGAAACAACACTCCGCCGCCGACGCAACAAAATCCCTTGCCGAGCTGATACGACTTCAAAATCTCGAAAATTAACAAATGACGAAGAAAATACTATAATTCAATATATTCTCAATCTTGATGCTAGAGCTCAGCCTCCTCGCCTCCGTGACGTTGAAGCTATGGCGAATCGCTTATTGGAGCTGCGTCACGACATTCCAGTTGGACGGAACTGGGTTGCAAGCTTTATTAGACGACACCCCGAAGTTGTTACGCGTTTATCACGTCAAATCGACTATAAAAGAGTCCGATGCGAAGATCCAGATAAATATCGAGCCTGGTTTGAGCTTGTAAAGAACACAATCGCGAAATATGGCATATACGAAGCGGATATTTACAACTTTGACGAGACTGGCTTTGCAATGGGCGTGATTTCACCGGAAATGGTTGTAACGAGCTCAGAAAGATCTCAAAAGGGGCGCAAAGCACAACTAGGAAATAAACAATGGGCGACTTTGATTGAATACATCAGTGCAGGTGGCTACATGATTCCGCCCTTTGTCATTGTCGCGGGCAAAACCCACCTCTCGTCTTGGTACGAAAATAGCCCATTGCCCAGCAATTGGGCGATTGGTGTTACTGAAAATGGCTGGAATACGAATGAAAGATGCTTAGATTGGCTCTATTATTTTCAAAAGTATACAATTAAGCAAAAAAAAGGCAAATATCGGCTTCTAATTCTTAATAGACACGAAAGTCACCAATCGACGGATTTTCAGCTATATTGCCAGCAAAACGATATAATTACATTATGTATACCGTCCCATACGTTATATAAGCTTCAACCGCTTGATGTGGCCTGTTATGGACCTCTAAAACAAGCATATAATAATGTAATTAGTGATCTTATGCGCGCATACGTTACCTATATTACTAAGGAAGAATTCTTCCTAGCTCTTTACGCAGCACATAAAGCTACTATGACTGAATCAAATATACTAGGAGGTTTTAGAGGCACTAGGCTTGCCCTATTCAATCCAGAATATGTGATTTCACAATTAGATACGAAATTCTCGACATCTTCACCTCCTAGATCATCGGATAGGCTCGAGCTACCTTGGCTTCCCAAAACACCTAGCAACCCAAACGAAGCTCTATCGCAAACAGAATATATTAAAAAAAGAATCCGAAATCATAGAAGCAGCTCACCATCCGATTTAATTGAGAATCTTAATCAAATGTCAAAGTGCACAACCAGTGCTATACAGAAGATGGTCCTAATGCAGCACCGAATCGATGAGCTTGAAGAGGCTAATAACCGCCTCTCACGACAGAAACGCGTTACGAAAAGACAATTACAGAGTGGAGGAACACTTACAGTAGATTCTGGCAAAATCTAGCTGCTCAAGCCTCTTCTAGAGTAAAAAGAGAACGCGACGAAGTTGAAAATATAGGTCGACGGAAGCGGGTGGAAACACGGCGCAGACGCTGTGGAAAATGCAGCGAAATAGGACATAATTCTAGAACATGTGAAAATGAAGTGGAAACCATTTCTTCAGATAGCTTATATTAAAAATTTTATTTTTAATTGTATTTAGAGTTGATGCACTATTCTTTATATACCAACGTCGGGAAGGGTACGCCGCTCACCCGTAACCCACGTTATAGGTTTATCTAGATCTAAATAGTTTATATTAATAATATAAAATATTAATATTTTTTTAATTATTCTTCTATTCACTTTATTTATTTATTAACTTTTAACCTTTTTAATTATTTCTTAACTCTTTATTTTAATATATAATTAAAAGTTAAGATACTATTAATATAGTTATATAAAACACTTATTAAAATAACGTTAGGTTTAATTATATTTATAATATTTAATATAGTTTATAAGTGAACGGTTTACACGAGTAAATAGCCTACCTTGTATTATAATATAATTAATTACCTTTAACTAATAATTTTATAACTAATAATAATAGAAAAAACCTGTAACGGTCTCAACTGAGTATATTAACAACTAGCTGAGCGACTACTACGAGTATCCGAAGATGAAGAAGAAGGGATCGAAAAGGGGCTATTCCAGCTAGCTGGAATAGCCTTTTATATGACTTACATGAGTCCCTTGCCTAGATGGTCGAGGGCTACCCGAGACCTCCACGAGCCTAGCCCGTTACACCCGAACAACCCAGCTAGTGTTAGTTGGTTTCACGTTTTCTATATCTCGATCATTCAGCTTTAGATGCTTTAGTAGCATATCTCGGACTTGGTAGCCATCTTTCTTGAGAGTCTCGGAGTCTGCCTTGATCCGAAGGAGAACTCGCCGGTCCTTATAGGTCGGCTTCTTCGTTACACGCGGGCTTGATCGGTCGGACCCGAGCCCCACATCTCCGGGGGCGGACGTGTTCCGTTCCGCGGCCTTGTCAGCCCAGCTGACTGTCTTCTTTACCTTGATATTCTTGGGGTTCTCGCGGCGTAGTTGATATTCCATGGCCTGAGGTTGTGTTTTTGCCGGGTTAGGGCTAGTGCCCTGCTCGTTACGCACAAAGCTGTCCTATTGTCGGAGGAGAGATCGCGCGAATTTGTTGGCGACTTTCTGGGAGTATCCCTTGGTGTATTTCTTGCAGCAGGCGTTGATTGTCACTGCGAATGTACGCAGGACATTGTTACATGCCTCCATTCTTTCTTTTTCGTGTAAAATAACCTCTTCGGCGTGGGCCTGGAGGTCGAAGTCGAGATCATCGCCAAGCGATCCATTGTCGAGGACACTGAAGTAGTTCTTAGTCGGGGCTTTCTTGCTTCGGGCTCGAGTCGAAGAATCGATCGGGGGCAGAGGACTGCTGCTTGAAGGGAGAGGCTAGTGCGTGGTTTTCCGGGCGTTGCGCAGCAAGACGTCTTGCGACTTCCTGTTGCTATAGGCTTGCACCCAGCTAGTATTATCAGTCACTTGAGCCTCTGGCGTCTGCAGTCTGGTTAACATCGCGTTAGCCATACCAACGGGCGCGCCGAAGGCGAGGGAATATTTTTTGGGGGGTCCTAAAGTCTTTTCCGAGCAAGTTATCTACGTGATTCTACAAAAGCTGATTTCACTCCTGTAGATGTAGATTGTGTTGATTGATTTTGTTTGTATATTAACGTCTATATAGCGCTACAGAGTAGCATAAGACGTGTAGAGGAGGGGCTAAAATACAGCAGTTCTACAGGCCGACGAACCACCGTAGGTGGTTCCAGCCGCGCACGTGTNGCTTCGATAGCAGATACGATGTCAGCTTCATTTGAGGTCTTTCCTATTATTATTGGTTGTGAATTTGTTGGTTGAAGGTAATCAATTAAATCATGACGCGAGGTGGACCACTCACCCGTGTGGGCCGCTCACCCGTGAACTACGTTAACTATTAAAATTACTTATAGAATATTCTATTCTATTTATATTAAAGAAAAATAATAAATAGAGACTTTATATAGACTATTAATAGCTTAATAGTATTATTATTAAAAACGAATAACGTAATTCACGAGTAAGTAGTCTATATAGGTGAGTAGCTTATCTAAAAACATATATAAATTAATATAATTTTAATTCCGCTAATAAATCTAGTTTAAATATATTAATACTATAAAAATATTCTATAATAAAAAAATTAGTTTTCTTAATCGATTTTAATCCTAAAAAATATAGCTAATTTAAAATATAGTTAACGTGGTTTACAGGTAAGTAGCGTATACAGGTGAGCGGTATAGTTAAAAATATATATAAATTAATACAATTTTAATTCCACTAACAATTCCAATTTAAATTATTATTATTATTATTATTAGGCTAATGGAAGCTATCTAGCTTATCTAGCTCTAACTANTTGTGGGGTCTTTCCTTCACGCGTTATCAGGAGTACTCTTCTCTCCACCACCAGCAAGTTGCAGCGTCCGCTATCTACATTCGGCCCGTATCTCGTCGTCGGGAACTCCGGGGGTTTGGTCTATTTAGTATATACTATTTAGGTTGTGCCCAAGTGGGCGAAACAAAGGAAAGTAAATGATTGGTTGTTGGAATGAAGTGAGGATTTTGTCGGGATTGCATCGCCGCTCGCTCTGGTACAGCGAGTGGTGAACGCGTCCCTTGTCGGTGCACGTTTGGCAAGATTTGCGCCTGTCTGTTCAGTACAGGCAGGCGTCAGTTTTATCGACAGTCATGCCATACGCCCTTGGCTATATGGCGCGCCGTTGTTTCCGTCTTTCATACTATTGCCCGCCGCGGGCAACAGTGTTGGAAGAAGTATTCCGCAATACGCGCAAAGCGCTTGTGGTCGGTGGTGAGTGCATCATTGATGCTATGGGATGGTACGCGGAGCCAAATTGGGACCCTTCTACATTGGAAGATGTGCTTGGTGTCTTTCGTTTTGCCGCAGGCACAGTTCGGCTGGTATTCGATGTGGTTGAACCTCTCGTGGTACTCTGCAAAGTCACCGTGGCCTGTACGGGCCGCGAGTAGGTGCCCCAGAAGCCACCGGGGGAGGCTCAACTCAGGGTTGGGCTTGAGGGAGAACTTAATACCAAGCTGCTTATATTTGCTACTGGCATTTTTGCTCCACCAATGTTGTGTGGCTTTCGGAAGCCATGATCGTGCCAGTCTGCGAATGTAGGCCTCTGTTGGCTCGAAGTAGTCGGTGCCGCTGCACCCAAGCTTCGCCAGCTCGTCGGCTCGCTCGTTCCCTGGTATCCCCATGTGCCCAGGAACCCAGTGGAAGGAGATGTTGTCTGTGGCCATCTCTCGGATGGCCTCGATAGTCTTGATCGAGGTCTTGGCCGGTCTACCAGCAAGGGTCTTCAGTACGGAGGTATTATCCAAGCATACCGCGACACTCCTGCCATTACTTCGGCGGAGGGCTGAGCGGAGTCCGCGTAGGACCGCGTAGGACGCCCTCAGCTTCAGCGTCGTAGACTTCGGCATGCAGGAGGTTGCCGTACGTGTGGAATATCTCGGTTCCGTCGAGGTATCCTACTGCGCCGCAGCCTGTGTTGCCGTTGTCATCTTGTGAGCCGTCTGTGAAGACAGTGATTCCGTCATATCCGGCGAGCCATTTCTCGAAGTTCTTCGTGGCTTGCTCTTTTGTTCCTGGTTCGATGTGTACCTGGAGCCTTTTCGGTTCTGGTGGCTGGAGAACTGTGTGTTTTCGCCACGGGGCTATTGCGGAGGTGTGCTGGAGCCTCGTGTGCCTTTGGTGAGGCTGACACCAGCGGCCTCGTTGCACGAGCGGGTGTCGTTTGTCCAGAGTGCGCAAGCGTGCGGCAGTGCGTTGCTGTATCCCGTAGAGGATATGTTGGATTGGTGGTATAGATGCCTCGCGCCACATATTCGTGCTGCGGGTTGTTTTCCATACTGGAAGCGCTGCTTTACAGGCGATGTTGATCACGACCTGCATCTTCTTAGCAATCCTTCGTGTGAGTCGTTTTTGCCGGGGCTGTGTTTCAGCGACGTCGCTGGTAGGCCCTGGCAGCCATGCGTCAGCGCCGAAGAGTAGTTTCGGGAGCACGCAGGCGATGATTGCTTGTCTAATAGCTTGTGCTGAGGGGCCGTGTGTTGTTGTGCAGAAGCTGCGGAGATGCAGGGCGGTGCGCTTTGCTAGTGCACAGCGCATCTCAACATGGTACTCGAATCGCAGTTGCGAGTCGAACCAAATACCGAGCCATCTTATCGATGGCTTACAGTAGATAAGCTGTCCTTTGTGCGTGATGGGTGGGAGGTCATCGCGGTGCTTTTCTCCCGTGAAGTGCATGACTTCTGTTTTGGCTGGGTCAAACGTGATAGCATGTTCAGCTCCTAGGGCCTCTAGTGCCTCTATAGCAGCGTTTGCCTGTCGAGTTGTTTGTCTGAGTGTCGGGGCGGAAAAGAGCATTGCCATATCGTCTGCATAGCCGTATCGTTGCAGTGGTCCTGTAATAGTGTAAAGCACAGCAGTGTACAGAATGAAAAGGACTGGTGACATGGGGGATCCTTGCGGTAGGCCGCAGGTTAGTTTCATGAGTGCTGTGACAATATCTTGGAGTCGGATAGATACTCTTCTGCCAGAGAGGAAGCTGTGTATCCAGTTGACCAAGTTTATAGGCCATCCTTGTAGGTAGTGTCTAGTTGCCATACGATTGCGGAGGATAGCATCGTATGCACCTTGGACGTCGGCTGTAGCAATTGTGACGTAGTTGCCTTTCTTCCGCTCGAGTTCAATATCGTGGATTAGCGCCGCTACCAGGTCGGTGGCACTACGCTTGGGTAATGCCCCAGCCTGGTTCTGGTGGACAATATTGTAGGTGATAGCGTAGTACGCCATTCTGCGGGCTATAAGGCGCTCCAGGCCTTTGCTGAGACAGGACAGCAGTGCAATTGGTCGCCATGAGCGCGGGTCTGTCAGGTCTCTCTTGGTGGGCTTGGGAATCATCACCACTTCCGCTGTGCGGAGCTGTTTTGGGTGGTATCCAAACTCCAGGCAGGCATTGTAGAGGAGAGTGACTGCTTGGCCGATATGCGGCCACGCAAGTTTTAGCATGTCGCGCGTAATTCCGTCGGACCCCGGTGTGGTGTTTCCAGTCACTAAGACAGCTCGTCTGGCTGCCTCGAGCGAGACAGTTGTATCCATTGGGATCTGTTGAGTTGGGGAGCCGCTGTAATCTGGCTCGGGTAAGTCATCGCTGGCGTCTCTTCTATCAAGAATGTGAGCCTTTAGAGCATGGGCTCGTTCAGTCGGCGTACTGTAGGTTGAGTTGTTTATCTTCAGCGGCGGCGGCTCTGTTACTTGTTTCGGTTGTTCGCGGCGGCGGGTAATCTTGTAGATTTCACTGCCAGCTTGTATTCTTTCTAGCAGCTGGTGTTTGTGGTCTCTTTTGGCTTTATTTACTGCTCTTTTGAAGGCTCGTCTAGCGATCTGGATATCCTTGTTAAAGCCACTAGGCCAGATTCTGTAGTACGCTGTAAGTTGCAGGCGGGCTTCCTTGCAGTCATCGTTCCACCAGGCATATTGCCTCTTGGGTTTACCTGAGGGCTGGCTTCCAGCAGTTTTAGCGGCCATTTCCAGACATCTAGAAATAGCGGAAGTCATTCGGTCAATTGACTTTCGGCTGTTAAGTGTCGTCGGCAGGTATTGCGCGGCGCTGCGAACGAGGTCGACAAAGTGGTTTTCCGCATCTTCATCTATGAGTTTTGGGTGCCGGTTAGGTAGGGCAGCCTTTTGTGAGATGCTTTGCGGGACAGAGAGAGCCAGCGATGAGTGGTATCCACCGCATGTAAGGTGCTGTTCTATGGTACATTCTGCTCCGTAGATATTAGAGAAGGCAAGATCGATCACCGAGTCTTTCCGTGTGGTCGCTGTGCCCGGCTTATTAAGCAGTGTGAGGTCGTGATAGTCGAGCCATTTGACGAGTTCTTTGGAGTATACTGAGGGTATTATTCCTGGCTCCCAGTGTGGGTGTCGTATGTTAAAGTCGCCTGCTAGGATGACTTCACCGCTAGGGGGTATAGAATCCGTGATGTGTGTGATGTGTTGCCTGATGGCGTGGTTATAGATATTGATAGTGGTGATATTGTTGACTTTTACGACTAAAATATCAGTCGAGTTGTATATGTTCAGGGGGGTAGTTTCTAGTCTAGAGTGAATTCGCGTATAAGTGAGTACTCCCGGCCATTTTGTCTTCTCAGGCGGCCAGTAGGACGTCGGGGAGAATGTTTTATAGTTTTGGTTTCGTGGAGTGTATATCTTGTCTTTACCGTTGCCGCAGCAGGGTTCTTGAATAAAAATGATATCGTAGGCTTCTTGGTCAGCCAGCCGGAGGGCCTCTTCGTGGTTATTCCAAGATTTGTCGACGTTAGCCTGTAGTATTTTCAGTGTGCAGTGCTGCTGTGTGTTGTTATAGTTGTCTCGCATTCTGGCGTGTATGTCGAGGTGGGAGATACTTGGTCTTGATACCTAGCGGTTCGTGTTGCGAGATCCGTGGGCGTTTTGTGGGCGACCCTTGGTTTGACGGCGGGCTTGTGATAGCATCTGTAAAAGTGGCAGCCATATCTATCTCGGGAATTCTGCGCTGGGTTCTACTTGCCGCTTTGGGCAATGTAGGAGTCTCTGCCGTATCGTGCGCCTGGTCATCGGTTGGCGTGCCGAGCTGCCTACCAACGGCTGGCTGCGGGGCCGGCGTATTGTTATTAGTAGTATTCTCAATTCTAACGACTTCGGCATAGTCTCGAGCTCCTTGTATTCGAGCCTGTTGGCGTTCTAGTTTCGACAGGCGCTGTATAGTTCCGTTATGTGGCTTCGGTTTAGCGTAGCAGGAAACGTGATCTGCGGGATGGGGTCCTAGGCAATTGGCGCATCGGGGTTGTAGTACGCAGGTTTCTGCGCCATGGTCTCTGCTTCCGCAATTTCTGCAGCAGGGCGTTCTGGTGCATACCATGGTGCCGTGGTGCCCCCAGCATTGCTGGCATTGAGTGATTTTGGGACGTCTCTGGATGATACGAGCGAGGTTGCTACAGCTAAACAGTCGCCATGGGCGTTCCACCTTCTCTGTAAATGAGACTACAAGGGTCACATTAGGCAGGGAGCCGGTGTCTTTCCGCGCAATGTGGAATTCTACGGGCTGTAGCTTGGTCTGGGCGACGATTTCGTCTTTTGCTGCTTGGAGAACGCCAGTGGCGTTTCCCATAATATCATGGAGAGTACGGGGTACATTGTCTACTACATATGTATGCCACGTTTCCTTCTTGTCAGCCACCTCTGCCTTCAAGCCTGGAAGCCACTGAGCCTGTTTGGCGAGGATCTTATCTCTGGTAGTGATATTGTCAAGTATGACAGACCAGCCGCTAGGGATACGGCGGGCGTCTAATAGCTGCGTTGGGGAGAGCTGTAGCTGGGCTGTGATATGCTGTTTGATACTGTATCCCGTTAGCTTCTCAGCGGCAGCGCTTGGCATGCGGATTAGGACTCGGCGGTCTGGTTGGCGTTCCCGTAGGTGGTCAGGTTTGTGTTGCTGTCTCTGTTGTCCTTGCTTCGCGGTGAGGGTTTGGTCGTCGATTTGGTGACTGGCGACGCTGGCGAAGCTTCGTGGTCCGGTAGGAGCTGTTGGGACGGCTCCGTCGTCAGCTTCGGCGTTGGTTATGCGGGCCAATATCTAGGAATGTTGGATAGTGCAGTTTTGATTATTTTGGTCTGCTTCTCGTTCCTGAGGAGCTTAAGTGACTCCTGTATAGCGTTAAGAATGAGTCCATAGGCCATCGTTTCATCGTCGTAGCGGGCTTGCGCGAGTTTGGCGAAGCTTGCGGCGGATTCCTGTAGGTCTTTCGACGAAAGTATCACCGGTTGTTGGGGCTCTGTCTCATTGGGCGGTGGTGTAAAGAAGGGGTCCTCAGTCCCGTCGTTATCGTCTAGCTGGATCACGTTCGGTTGGGCGTCGGCTTGCGGCTCGTCTGAGATGTCGAGCACCATCAGTTCGTCATGTTGCACCACAGGGTATTCAGCATCCAGATCGTAGGTTCTACGCTGGTGCTGAAGCTCGGCAGAGACGGCCAGGTCGGCCACCGTCCCGGTAGCATACGAGCACCGGTTGGGCGGCCGCCTGATAGCATGCGTCGTCATAATTATTGGTGAAGCTCAGATATGAGCTAGGGGTTGTTAACGATTACTATGTGGGTATTATGGGGTGCACTAACGTTGCAGCCCAGACCCACTGTAGATGTAAGGAGGATGTACGAATAATGCACCACTTGACAATGTTGCAGCGCAGGGTAGAGACACATTGGCCGTAGTGCCTGGAACGTACTCTCCACTCGAGCACATATAATAATCGGTAGAGCCACTCTAACGTGGCTACTAGAGGACTTGATGTACTCTAAGGGTTTAAAAAGCTGAATATTATTTGGAAAGTACATACTTCGTACCGTGCTGTGGTGGATAGGTGGGCTTTGTTTATAGCTGTTGTCTGCTGTAGAAGTTATACAAGGAACGTTGTAGATGTCCATATCTCTCTTAATAGCCCTTTAATATAGAGATTACGCTCTTAGTAGCTATATAATTCTCGTTAATTTATTTCGACTGGCAAAGGCAGTATAGCTTAAATCTCCGTTTGTTTGCCCACCAGCTGTCAAGAATTCGTTGCGACGGGTTGCGATTAACCTTTGGTTTAGTTTAAACGACGGCGCTTTCTTTGTCTTGCCTTCAAACTTTCTAGCAATTCCTTAATTTCATTAATATCCCTCCAAACTTCTTTAAACCTAAGTTCTACCGCCGATAACCTGGGTAGAAGGGTGTCCGCTAGGCTCTCGTCCGCGAGATTCTCTTCCTCGCAGTCTGTTGCATTCACATTTTTAGGGATAGACTGTTGTTTATTAAACTTTGTCGAGTGTTTAAGAAGCCATGACAGTTCTCTGTTCTGTGTCTGGGATGCTGGTACTCTGGAAAGCTTCCCGGGTTCATAGTTGAATGTTGATGTGTGAGTCTCTTTACCCAGATCACTGCTCAACTCCGGCGTTGTACCGTTGTTGTTATTAGGCCTTGTTCCTACAGCTTGCTCGAAGAATGTGTGGGTAAATATCTCAGCAGGCTGCAACCTGGTCGCTTGTGATAACCGCGATGATATGCGAGGACGTTTTGCTGGTGAGAGATGAATATCCATATCTTTTGTGTCAAATAGATCATCCGATTCAATGCTGCTCTCCTTGATTGACGAAGTGAGCATTGGAAGATTTCCATTGTCCAGTATAGGACTCGATAGAATATAAATCACATCTTGCTCTGGTGGAGTACCTTCTGGGAGACCTAGGCTCGCGGCATTCGTCTGCCTCTCGTTTGTCTGTTCGTCGGGCTCTTGTTCGTCATTTTGATGGTTGACCGGTAATACCTCATGTTCGGGCGAGCTAGTGCTAAAAAAGTCCGAAAGATTGAAACTTTTATCTTTAGATCTTAACTGAGGTAGGTTACGGAGATCGTGGCACCGGTTATCCCACTGCTCCGCAAAGTGTCTGTTCAGTCTTTGTTAATATAGGACAGGCTAAGGAAGATGCTAGTATAATCTCACTCCATTACTTCAACACGATTCAACACGATCAACAATCATTGGAATTTTGATGTCGTGGATGTGTAAGATAAGAACTGAGTGGTAGGTGAGTGTGGGTTGAATGTGTTTGGTAGCTGACTTGAAAGTGAGCGGCTACAAACCACGCGCACGTATAAATCACATTAAATACAAAATAATTCGATTTAAACACTTTAGCGACCTAATATTAAAATAAACTGTCACATCACTCTACTCGGCAACTACTAAACTGTGTCAATCAAGCTGGACGTCAATGATAACTTTATAGACAGTGAAAATCATTTGACTTCAAGATCATAACATGAAATGTAATCTTCGCGATTTATATAGTACCTTAGAGTAAATACGTTCTTAGAACAGAAAAGAACTCAAGTACGTCTTCAGCTTTTTGAAAGTTGACTTTGAGCATGAAGTCTCGCTCCTTTTGACCTAGGCAGTGGTAGATGTGAACGATTTTGGACCCTTCGTTGGGGAAACAATTTTTAAATTCGATGAAATTATTGCGGATTTGGCCTTTCTAAAACCGAAACTCCTTGTCCATCTCCAGACCCGAGATCATTAGGCCCTCGAAGATTGGTGGTGACTCCATTCGGTTTGGTGTTGCTACTCGAGAGCGAGTAGGTCTTGATGTTGGGGTGGGAATGGGTATTCGGAGAGGATTGTAGCCTCTTGCATTACGCCTTTCGGTTTTTATAAGGGGCATAGTTTCCTGGAGGACAGATTAGTCTCTATACCTAGTACCCAATGAATTCTATTTACCCTTACCAGATTATGGAATAATCGTCTCGGAACGTAACAATCTGACTTGGAGAATAGAGGATGTTGGTTTTTTTTTCTTTGTGTCAGAGACTGACGATGCAGCTAGTAAACTGCTGACATGGACGCGTCATCGCTGGCAGTGCCAAGCTGTCGCGACAGTGTCGTGTTGTCTGAAGTGAACGCGACCAGTGTAAACGAGATTATATAATAGTTATCGTGGAACTTTCTTTTATATGATCTGTTGTCTACTTCGTGACTTGGCCTCTAATAAGATTACCCTCACTCAGTTCCCAATCAGTAGATTTAGCTTTTATTCGATAGCTCTCTCTCTCTATATATAGACCGTTTGCTCTTACAAGGTCTCTTAGCGTCAGATTCGATGTCCTCTACAGTTATTAGCGTGGGACATCAATAAGCAGATCTCCTATAGTACTTATCTCAACAGAGGAAGGATGCTGCTCCTTCACACTATAGTATATTTGGTCATGTATTCTAATTCATCGGGGTGGTACTGTTACTCTTGGCAGCAGTGGAGTAATTCGATTTTAGTTTTTTGTATACTTTTTCGAAAACGATAGATATTACGTTGCTACTGAATAGATTTATGCTCCATGATTATTGCGCGCGTGCTCAGCGTAGTGAATTATCCGTTATCCCCCACGCCCCGCTATTGGTTTTTTGTTTTTTGTCTTCAACTACTCCTCCTCAGTTTCACCATCGGCAACAATCGCCATAATCTAAACTATCCTCCTATAATGGAAGCAACTCTTATAAATTCGGCGGCTACTTGTCTGATTGGTGTAGCATATACTTTCGGAGACGGTACCAAACCCGAAGGAACCCTTTCCGACTTCGCTGATCATGATTCACAACTTGTTGACTTTCGACAATACCATTTGGCTCGTCTTGTAAACCAAGCGCCATTTCAAAGCACGGCCTAGACAGCCTATTTTGATTGGACTTGGGATGGAAGGAAATCAAAAGTTATTTTGCACTTCGATAACGACCAAACGTGGCGCGTTTGTCTGTCTGTTATTGCTGAGTCCTTCCTCGGTCGACGAGCCAACCCTTCTGTAGACCCCTCGACCGTCTTCCTCGTGCACTTTACCCCTGGCAGGGAGAGTCTATCTGGACAGGTGATTGAGGTACCACAAGACATTGTTGTAAAGCCTGCGTCCCGCATTGAACCTGAGGATAACTACCAACCAGATACTTCTACTTCAGCAAACTGCATTGACCTGACGGACCTGCCAGAGGTCGAGCGGGAAGATGGAGCCTCACGCTTACATGACTCAGTTATGTCTAAACTCGTTCAGCATTGCTACACACCTCCATCGGAAATCGAAAATGTGGCCCGATTCTTTGCAGTTAGCCGCCAGGCCTTGCTTAATGGTGTGCAGCTACCTGGTACCAACAAGATCTTGAGACCTTATCAACTTGAAGCGATCTTCAAAGCTGTACAGAAAGTCAGTGCCCACCATGGATCAGAATCTAGCGATGGCGCTCTCATATGTGATGAGACTGGTCTTGGGAAGTCGTATGTCATTCTAGGGGTACAAACAATGACGCGATTGGCTTATCTGGTGCTTCAGCATAGATCTCAAAACCCTTCCAGTCACAATTCCGACAAAGTCATCGACCTTGAGACCACTGACCAACCATGTCCATCTGGAGAATATTTTGGGATTGAATGCTCTTGTGTCCCTGGCTCGTTGAGTGCAGCATTTGCACGCACTCTTAATGGCGGAGCCACCATCATGCTTTCACCTCCACATTTGGTCGGCGAGTCGTGTGGCAAGTCAGCGCAATATTTTGCAAACAATATATCTGGAGAAGATGTTCTTTGCGAAACTGTAGTGTATGGCAAAGCCGGAGCGCTATGGCTCTGCGAGGCGAATTCGGAAACGGGCTATGTTGAACGCGAGGCGATTGATGTGCATAATATCAAGGCTATAATGCCGGGCAATATGTCATTCTCATCGTCGCCACGAACTAGGCGGTACGACTGGGAATCTTTGGACGAGCTGACGAAAGCATGTGGATGCCAGCCCGTGGTCAATTCACCAGTACCCCGACTGAGCGGAAATTGTGCGCGCACGTTGATTATTATGAGTACAGCCGCCTTTACACGACGCTCATTTGGCACGACGTTTTCAACAACTGTTGTAGCCGGTGACACGGAAGTCCGGCTTCTTCGCTCATGCTGGGCATCGCTAGTTTTTGCGGATGAGAGCCATTTGATCGTGGAGCGAGAGAGCCTATTCTGGATGGGCATGCGACAACTTCAATCTATTAATCGCCGATATCCAAGGAAAGCAAGCTTTTGCTTCACAACAGCAACACCATATCTAAAATCACCGAAGAGTATCTCTGGGCCCCTGAGCGTTCTTCGTAGTAAACAGGAAGGAATGCTAGACAATCTCGAGAGACGGTTCAGACAGGCAATACGATCAAACCAACCTGATACGCAAAACTTGATTGATGAGATTGCCAAGTTTTCTCTTGGCATCATGATAGCCCGAAAAACGGGAAGTATTGTCTTTGGTATGCCCATTGAGGTTGGAATTAGTGATGTTCCTATCAGAGACGTGAGAGTCGATATCCCGCCAGAGTTGGACACCACCCTACAGCCCGTGCTTGATCAGCTACGCCAAAAGTCCGGCAATCAGTGCAATAGAGCTGTCTATTTCTACTATGCCGCCACCATGATGCCAGCAATCGCTACGGCGGCGGCGAAAATGCCGGATCCAAGCCGGTACGAAATACTTGCGGCCGAAGTACAGGAAGCTTGGGAACGAGGCCTAAGCGATCCAATGCGCCGTTTTATTACCCATTGCTCGAGAGACAACTGGTTCTGCAGACTTTATGAAATCCTCACCCAGGCAAAGGTTACCCGACGACATATACTGATTGCATGTGGTACGCCTGGGTTGGCAGCTCATGTTGCAATATGTCTGAAACATGAGGCCAGCGTAAAAGACTATTACCAGGTTCACTATATCTCTAGCAATTCGGCTGGTGGCGCATTGAGGCGAAGTGAAACAATTGCCACCATTGCTGCAGAAGCCAGGCAATCCAAGCAGCCTCACGTCATTGTTGGCACTGCGGAGCTTTTTGGTACTGGTATAGACAATCTGGTTTTCTGCAACTACTTGATTGTTATCGGCGACATCGAAGGGCGATCATCGATGAAGCAAGTGATTGGACGCGTCAACCGAGGGCACCAAACACTGCCTGTTCTTGTCTACCACCTACAGTCAAGCCACACAATCCATACCAGAGTGCGTGAGAAGAGGAAAATAACGGCGGAGATTCTTTTCAAAACCCGTGATCCCTGTCTCTAAATCATAGTGTGGTGTTTTTGGCTGTTTTCTATGTACTTACTATCATTTGACTCTCAATGTTGGATCTGAAACACTGTTGATAGGGCTCTCTAAATAGCTGAATTGAACTATTTTTTTTTGAGCATGGAGGAATAAGCTCCGTACGCATAATTGGACTTCTTCTACTACTCGTCAATTACGTGTACTACTTCATCGTCGTCCAACTCTATCACCTCATCAGTGTGCTCGAAGAGAGAGTTTCGAGGGTCATTGTAAGGGTAGAATCGACCATGTACCATGGGCGGCACCGGCTCGTTGGCGATGTCTCTTCTAAGGCGCTAACTCCATGTAGAGTGCTCTTCTTTCAGGTGGGCTAGCGCAGAGGAGAGAGCGCTGTAGTACAAGCCTATAGATGGCTTCGATGTGACCGTGATTGACGGAGGCCATGCTGTGGGGAAGTGCCCAATCTATTTATCCATCTGTATTTATTTTTTGTTCTTGTTTGTTTTTCTCACGGACAACTGCTCCTAATATTGAATATATCCCCTTATTCGTATGGTGAGCAGTGAGCGGTGGTGGTAGTTTGCTCTATTGCCTACCTACACGTCGGTAGGGCGAACATCAGAATCCCGCCATTCAACCATAGTACCATCCTTTATATAAACATAAGGATCTTCTTCATGTTTCATCTTTCCGTAACAGTGACCTCGGGGCTGTAAAGGAGCCCTGTCTATTGTCGGCTGTCAGAGCGTTATTGGGCACTAGGCGCTTCCGCTTCCGCTGCGCTTTCACCTCGACGTAGATTCTACGGCCAGGGGGCGGGGAGGAGCCGACTAGCTCTCTATCGAAACCGGAGACGTCAATGTCGATAGGGTCCTGGGGGCGGCCGGGGGTCGTAGCCTCGGGGGTCACCGGGGGCAGTATGGAGGCGTTGAGGGCCCGGGCAGCAGTCACCGTATTGATGGCCTTGGCAGTTGTGTTGACGAGGCTCGGGTCCGTCTTGGTGGCGGCTAGTATTTCTTGGACTTGGTCGAGAGCTCGGGTCCCTTGATCAGACGGCAGCACTACTGGGGGAGGCGAGCTGGACCCAGAGGGTGTAGTGTTTGGATCGTCGTTGGATATGATAAAAATTCTTGAAAACCAAAGTCAGCCAACATTTATAAATAGATCTGGGGGAGGTGGCGCCGCGTAGGCCGTAGATGATGGTAGGTAGGAGGGGACGGGACTGCGATGGCTCTAGCGCGGGCGTAGGTATGCGCACTTACTTTGGTTGATGATTGAAGAAGAAGAGGGAAGAAGAAGACAATAGAAAAAAAGATAAAAGATAAAGACAAAAGGAGACGCTAGTGAAGAGTAAGAATAGGGAGCGCTTTGCAGTAAACGGCGGCGGCTTTTGCAAACAAACAGAACGCGCAAAGCATTCTGACGCCCGTTTGCCACAGCTGTCTGAACTGTCTCGAGCCCACGGCCCCGACAGATCTCTGCTGCTTATATACTCTTGCAGCTTGTGCTCTACCTCATATACACCTCGTGCAACCATGTCTGGTCTCTCCAGTGTACTATAGCTATATTATACGTTGTTGGGGCTTATATTCGTTGTTTTGGCTGCTCGTTGTTGTTTTTTATTGTATTACTACCTTTGTCTGGTAGTTTTTTCCACAGCGTACACAAACACTGCGAACCGGTGCAGAGGGCCGCTGTTACGAACGAGACACAGCCGACCTGTTTAGGCGGCCACCACTATGACACAAGTATGCAGCGTCGTCGGGTCACGTGACCCGTGGATCGCCAGGCTCGCCCGGATCGCGAATGCGATCCAAGTGAGCTGGGTGAGAACTGAAGATATGAACAAGTATATAAACCCCTTAGATAGCCTAGCTACAGTAGTTCAGATCTTCAGTGATCAATCTAAGCAATTACTCGTTAATTAAGGATAACTCCTTAACAGCCGCTTAATCCAATCTTTGTTACTACTGCTCTTGGACTTCGTCCACTTACACCGCAACTGTTCTGCTACATAGGACAGACCCCTACGTAGTGCAAGCCACTTCGTTACAGCCGCCTCCGCCTGCGAGGAGGCCGAGCCCATCTCTCTCTTGACAGTTGGTTGCTTTACGCAAAAACAACAGAAAGAACAACCCCTCTTAATAAAAGAAAATACAAGATTTGTGTATGTCCTTTACTGTGGTCTTTTTTTTCTTTTTTCTCTTATACATCCATGCATGCGAACATATGTGCGCCAAGATATCGTAGGGCTGAACCCAATCACCCCAAGTAGAGGTCTATCTTACTACTATGCTTAGCTCGAACCCGTATCAAAACTTTATGCTTTGCATCTCTCTACCTTATTTGCCCTATACATCTATTTTTCTTGTCCTATTTCAAGGTAAACGAGCTCTATACCGAGCAATATCTCTCCCCCTCACCGTGAGCCCATCGAAACCCGCCAGCCTTGCTCCCCAGACTGCATTGCCGCACGCCTCACACTGCACGACGCACCTTGTCTAATTCCGCATAGAAAGTTACAATAAAAGCAAATTCACATTTGTATAAATTCGCCTATACTAAATACACGCAATTTTTCCCTTATGTTTGCTGTCATCCATGGCCACAATCCCACGACCCCTCCTCATTTTCATCCGCTCACTCCCTTACCCCCTTCGCAACAACCCCGCCCCAATCTATTCCACCCCACCTGATCCTACGCAAGTCGGGCGGCGCTATAGATCCGTGATGCTTAGGTAAGGCGTACCACTACTCGTACGCTGTTACTCTAATCGGCTAATTGAGGCCTCTGCGAAGAGGTTATTTTACCGCAAAAATATTATAATTTAATTTGTTTTCTTCTACGTATTTGTCAACTTACGCGCTACCAGACATACCTGTACTAATATCCACACATCCATCAATCCACTTGGATCATGCCACTGATCAACAGCAACAAAAGAAACCCCACTCTATTGATTTAGGTGAATCTTGTCTCGTTACGCTTAGTATAGTGTACCATATAAAGATAGCTGCAAGTACTAGAGACGCTGCTTTTTTTTCCTTCTTTTTTCGGCCGGGTTTAACCTTTGAAAGCTAGCAAAAGCCAGCTAGCTTCCCAACCGCGCGTTGCACGAAGCGGGTCGCATCCCCAGTGCCCACCTTTCCTACCCTAGATCCTAGATTACTTCGCTACCAGACGGGCTAAACACCGCTCATTAATATAATTGAAAGTAAAGAGAATGTAAAGACAGGCTACAGTATTAAATAATGTTACTTGTCATCGCTATGTGAAGCGTAAAGAGCTTCTTCTCTCTTGAGCTTCAGGTGGTGGGCGCTCACATGTACCACAACCTTGGTAAACCTCGGCCTGTTCCACGAGCGTCGCGTTGTGGCTCCACGCATGACTTTTACACCATCACCAGTACCAGACCTAGAACATCTTTAAAAGCTTCTAAAAGTAATTGAACAAAAGGTGTGAAGCAATAGAAGTCGACTACGAAGCTATCATGGTTCTTTTCAACCCTCTTTACGAGCCCAAGAGACTGGTCCACGCCGTTCCAGAGCAGTGTCAACAACAGCCACAATAGTCAATCAAACGCAGCACCTGGTCCTTCTAGGTGCCAATTTCCCCCTCACGGGCTGGCGAAGATACACTATTCGGCAAATGGAAGATAGATTATACAATCCATCATTGTCACAGCGGCATTTGAAAAAAAAAAGTCTAAGCAAGCCCCTTGCGCTGCAGCCTGGCAATTTGCAGCCAAGAACTCTCTGTTCAAGAAGCTACAATATTGCATGGTAATGTACATTCGCTGAATATATCTCCACCAGAATCATCTATAGTCTCTTACAATGTAATAGGGTCTCCATTTTAGGCCACAATTACACGGCAATGATAAAATTGAACGATTACAGCACGGTGGAGGCGCTTGGACAAAGCCTCCCGCTACGAGCCTTGAGTCATTCTACTTGTTCGACCACTAGACAATATAAAAACACCCTCGACAGTATAGTAGAGAAACCATAACAGGCCATTTGTATCGTGACTCGCGGGCTGCTATTACTAGGAACCGGCTGGTGCATCCAACATCGATGACCCAGACGCCAAGGGCACATGGACAAACCCACTTCTTCCGCAACATTCAAAGCAAGGGACACCGTCACCGAATCAGAATCGCACATCTATATCCTCCAAGAGACCCAAAGGTATATCAAAACACAAGCCGGTGAGCTACAGCCCCCAAGCAGCATCATCCCACACGCCCATTGACGCTCATCTTAGCCTCCTTGCTCTACCCGACATGTCTAGTCTCTTCAACCACCAAATACCATCTCAAAGGCAGACAAATCTCCCAAAAGTGCGTCAACTGCGACAAGAATAAGTAAAAGGTCAACCCAGCCCGGGATGATATGAAAACCCCCACTCCGACCCTCACTTCTCAGCATTCCCCTCGGACGGCCCGGCCCGCAGACCGGAATCTTTGCCCAAGCACAGGCTATAGAAGCTACAAGACGATAATGATAGACCAAGACTTCTCGAACCAGATTGGCTGAGTGACTGCCATCCCCACGACTGCTGATTGATGTACAACGCTGTGTTAGTGAAAGCCCCCGCATAAACACACCTCAAAGCAGATAAGACACAAGAACTACGGACGCAATTATCCTCTACTAAGCATGTACGGAATGGCTACGCGTGTCAACCTCCGCATCAAAGAACCCGAGAAACTCTACATGATGCGAAGTGAAACCTGTGGCACTCGCTAGTGTTACGACGCTACTTTACACGGCACATCGAACATTAATTCCTTTTTTTAGTAGAATTTTATGCCAAGTTGATGAATTAATTCGCCAACTCTACTAATACTGGAGGCGGGGTTCTTTCTCTCTTTAGGGTATCAAGGCTGGCAGCGCTGGCAGCTCTGCCAGGACGGCAGCATGTCTCCTTCTCTTGGAGGAGTAACAGCCACTCTCTGTTTGCATATTGCTGAATTGTACATTTTCCTTTCTTTATTTCCGCATATGTCTAATGCCATGTCGACTGTCGCACACAGCAAACATGCACCTGAATCTCTCATGATAGTGCCCTTGCTCGACCTTGAGGTTGAAGTCGACGACCGTCTACACACCCCGGAGCATGGAGATGCTGTTGATTGGTCTGTTGCGTTTCATCGCCAGTTCATTACAACTAGCACCGGCACGCGAACTGCAACCATGGGCATAGCATTCGGTAATCAATTCAAAGCAATTGCATGTATCCCCTGTTCTCTCTCTCTCTCTCAAAAACATCTATATTATAAGACGAATCATGCTAATCTCCATCCATCTATCAGGCAAACTTGTCTATTGACGACATTCGAGCATCTTGTGAACGCAGAGGCCCTGTTTTTATGTTTCACAATCCCCCCAGCGTTGAGCTTCGGACCGACAACTACGCCGTACGAGCCATATTTGCATCCGAATACAATCTCTCCTTTTTCGGGGCTCTCATGAAGAGACTAGGTATTACGTTCATCGAGCGTACAAGACCACAGCAAGAGGTAGAGCTTCGGCATAATAATCCGCAATATTGCGCCCAACCAGCTTTGTCAATACTGCCTCCACATCTGTATCAACGAACCCTTCTCCAGTATGAAACGAACCTACGCGACAGCATGTCAGTCTACCGATCATGGATACAACACCAACATCTCGAAATCCAGGCGAAGGAAAACGTGCGACTCTCCGAGAAGCGAAGACAAACATGGGCAATATTAAAACCTCAGCGCGTACAACAACAAGTATCGTTGAAGAGCTCCAGCTTAGCCGTATACCAGAATCGCTATCCGCCAAATCCTCATTCCCATTCATCTGAGATTCCAAAAGACGCCAATCTCAATACAATAGCAAGGAAAAACGATGTTGTTACTTCTGAGCCTCCCGGTAGCTGTGAACTATCCTCTATTTTACTAAAAAAGCGAAAATTACCTTTTTCTGATAAATACGCAAAAAAGTGAAAGCAACGTCGAACTTATAATACAATCAGCCCCCAATCACACTGAGCATAATAGCTTCGTCCAACGTTCCTCATTGGTGCCAGGTGTCATGCTACTTCTCTGTTCGTACCCGCTGATATACGGGCCTTGTTTATATAAGGAACTTTTACATAAATTACCCGCAACTCGACAGGGTATCTTCGCTGAGCCTTAGCTGACGACTGAAATCTGTTTCCTCAAAGCATTTAGCACTTGAACAGCCGGACACAGGGCTGCGACCTAGAACCAGATCCAGCGGTCGCTCACCATGGCTAGAAGAGCAGATCGACGCACGTCTGTACGATAATCAGTGACAATCACGCAGCTTGAGGCAACAATCAGAGAGACCAGGCTAAGCACAGCGCAAGGGCGCCTCAAGAGGAGCAAAACAGTGTACAAGGTTGTTTTTAAAGTCATTTTTATTCTCTATAATTCTCCTTAATTACTTACATTTTAATACAACTTCTTACTTTTACATGGATTTACCAGAGAATTTAAAAGTTGGAAATGGGTAGTTGGAGGGGGTTCAGGTACAAATCAGTCCAATTTCTGGAGCTTTGGCCTCATTTCCAGCTTCCAGCTTATGCTGGCACTTCGAAGCCTTGCCAGGATACTTCTTCGAGATCTTATTGCCGAGAATGACTTTATTCATATTGGTCACGACATTCACAACCGGATCAAAAGTTGCGTTCCCTGAGACATTCGAGCTTCGCTTTTTAAGCTGGAGCCAAATGGGCAAAGGTACGACTGCAGCCTTTGCTCAAGTTCTACATCTCGTGGTCGGAGCCCTTATTACAGAGCTTGGAACAATCCCCTAGTTTCGGCCGGCTACACAAATGATGATGAAAAGCTGCGGGGTAATAAGAGAATTACCTTAACTACCTTCTTATAGTTCTTTGCTCGAGACAGATATACCTCTGGGTCTTTTTGTTACAGGCAAACCACCAGATGCGAAACTTGGCCAAGCGTCCATGTGGTACCGCACGATCAGTTCCATAATCACGACTTTACGCAGATCATCCGGCCTATTCTAGAAGATATCAAAGTTGTCACCTAAAATAAACGCAAATTCGCTCTCCTGGAGTGAGATCGCTGCTGATCCAGACCTGGCGCCCAGCCCTCCATTGTGGTACAAGCGTCTGGCAGAGGGGGCTTCGTCCGGGTCTTGGAGGACAATGCTATACAAGATTCAGCGAATACCATTGGCTGGAGTTCACTTGAACCGTTGGGATGAATTACAACTCGATCTACGCATGGCGTTTTACCTCGTCCTGAACCTGTTCGTCGCTGGGTTACGTCCGTTGACGATAAGAACTACTCTGTTATGCCGTTCCGCCTCACTAATTTATAGCACGTGGCTAGAAGCTCTTGTGGTAGTAGCCTAAAGGGTTGATCAGAACGGGAATAGGCGATCTACATGCTAGGAACAGAATAACACTCGTGACGAACGAGCCGCCAACGCCAACGCCAGCAAAAGCATGCTGACCTTGGCCCCATCCATTAGCGAAGGCACACATTAGACGCTATTGAATATTGTGCTTAATTTATAGTTATGTTTCGGCGGTGCTTCGATTGCTAGCTTGTAGTTGTGCACCACCTGGAGAGCAGATGAACATCTTGAAGAGACCCGCCTGTCTGGTTGTGGTCTCGGGCAGCCTCTCTCCAGCTATCCTGTTGAATCCAGTCTAGTGTACCTAGCATAATCTGTACCGTCTTTAGCAATAATATTATTGTACAGTAATTGTAGTCGAAAGTTTCTAGAATATCTTCTAATCATAATACTAGTTTATCTAAAATCTAGCTCAATGCTTCTTCTTAACAATGGGAAATGGGATGCAGCTCACAAATTACACGGCGTAGCTAATCTGCATAATTTGGAAGTATTCTTGTATTTCTTTTAAATTGATAACTTATTAGTGTTACTTTTCTTTGCTTTTTCGTCTTTTTGATAAATAGCTCTTTAATTTTCTTTAGTTTCATCTGATTTAAGCCGCGCAGCAAGCTCGCGCCAATAGCACCCTATTGTTGGAGGAGGTACTCCTATTTTTTTTTTAGTTCAAACGTCGACGTTTTTTTTGGACCGTCTTATGAACGTCGCCTTCTAGCCGCAGTTCCATTTGCTTGACTTGCTCATTGAGGTCGTCCAGACTCTCTTTTACCCTCGAAAATAAGGGCAGAAGGCTTTTCGCTATGCTCACTTCGGCGGCATCCTCATCGTCGCTGTCACTAATATCCGTGTTTTGAGTAATGACCCATCGTGGCTCTTTATTTTGTGCTCTACTTGCTGGCACGCTGGAGATTTTTCTGCTCTTGGATTCATAGCGAAACATTGCTATGCCATCATCCTCGCCCGATGGACTACCCAGGCTTGAGGTAACACTATTTCTCTTTTCAGGGGTTATTCTCTTAGCACAATCGAAAAGGTTGTAAGTAAACTTTTCAGTAGGTTGTTTATGTGCTTCTTGTGTTAATCGGGATGATGTGCGCGGACCCTTTGCTGGTGACAGTTGAATGTCCATATCTTCGGTTCTAAATAGGTCGCCTGGCTCCACGCTGCTGTCCTGCACCGAGGAGTTGTAAATTGCCGATTCTGCTTCCGCTTCCGTTATCGGGCTCGATGGGATATAAATTACTTCTTGCTCTCGTGAAGCAATATTTGACAGAGTCAGTGTTGCGACATCCGCCTCCCTCCCGCCTGTTGGTTCGTTGGTCAACTGGTCACTAGTACGATGTGTGACTTGTGACTTGTTGTATGGTGGTGGACTGGTATTGAAAAACTCTGAAATATTTAGATCCTCATCTGGGCTCAATCGAGGCAGGCCCCGTAGATCATCGAGCTCGCCAGCCAAGTCATCGGTGAAGTCTCTGCTCAGTCTTTGTTAGTATAGGTTCATGAACAGGTACCATAAACCTACTCCATAATTTAAACAGAGTCGCTCAGAGATTCTAATCTCTAAGCAAAAGCTTAGTTTGATGAGTGAGGAAGGTGAAGTATGGGAGTATTTTAGCAGGTTCACCGTTTGACAGCTGACTTGAAAGTGAACAACTACCACCACATCAACAGAGTAACCGCAATGACCACACTTAATGGAATTTGGATTTAAATCTTCTATTGACTATTAAAGTCAGTTCTGACAGTATATTATTCTTAGTTATCACACCTTATTCCTTCCTTTCCCTCTTCTCCCTAAACTCCGTAAATTGGTCTCAAGGCTGTTTGCCACACATCACATTAACATAGAAGGAAAGAATACTTGAGTCTTTTCAAGATCACATGAAGGTCAGCTAGGCCATATTGTCGCTCCATCCAGTAGCTGAGCAATTCACGCCAACTGCTTTCTTAGAAGTGTAAAAAATTCAAGTATGTCTTCAGCTGTCCCAAAGTCAATACACAGGACAAAGTCCTGTGCTTTACTACCCAAGCAGCTGAGTATATAGTCGATCTTGGACGATTCATCAGGGAAACGCTCGCTAAACAAGATGATGTTCTTGCGAATTTGGCTTTTCTAAAGACGAAAGATAGGCTCGAGCTTCACCTCCAATAGGCTTTCCAAGATTGGTGGTGGCTTCATTCGTCTAGGTCTTTGCCATCGATTACGAGTGACATGTCTTGCTTCTCGTTGCTCGGCTTTTATATTGGTCATAGCTTCGTGTTTCTGAGTTGTTCTCGCAGTGTACTTGCTGTACGATACATTAGTCTCCATCATTAGTCTTCTAATAAAATCATGTTTTACTCACCCTAAGGAGACAGAGACCTGTGGTTCAAAAGAAATATTCTTGTGGGTCAAACACTTTAATGTAAAGATCAGGTGAAGATGTGCGTGAGCTTGAAAAGTTGAAGTGGACGCGTCAGCACTGGCAGTGCCAACCTGTCGCGACAATGTTGCGGAGCCTAGAATCACGCGACCGGCGTACTTAGACTGCTTTTTTGCTTTGGCGTCGACTCTTATTGATCGTTTGTAAACCACTACCGTCTCAAGCAACCACACCCTCAGACTTGCAGCTCACAATAGCATCGAGTCGTGCTTTCGCTGTTTGGCGTATCCAAGTCGCTGTCTAGCTCTCACAACTAAATACCTAAAGCGTATAGCTCTTAATGTCTATACAGGCTGCGCCCGCTAGTCCCTCGCACATCGACCGCCCAGGTTCTGTCGCCATACTCTTCGATGGACAGAGCCGCCGATTCCTCGCCGCACTACATAAGCCTTTGGATGAATAGCGACGATTTACGACACTCGGAATATTCACTAGGATTCATCAAAGACCGCAGCAGTCCTAGTAAAGCGACTTGGCTGATCACCTACACGTTGGTTTGAGGTCGGTGCGTATCTGCTATGCTGAACCCAAGAGCCCCTACCTTGTACAACCAGCTTTCTGTATCCCATCCTACTGAAATTAATCACAATGAGGGTATATTCAATGATAACTGTTTCCTCATACATGTACCCGACGAGCCGGCTCGAGAGATACGTACGTCTGCTTTCGAATTCGAGTCATTAGCAGCGAGCTACTACATTGACTCGCGGAATGAATGGACCGCAATGTACTAATACAGCTCACTTATCTATACCAAGTTGCTGTGATTGTTGGTTCGAATGCAAGATAATGAAATGATAATACCTGGAAGAAGATACTGGCCGGGATGCTATGTCTACATCGCCAACGCACACAGCATAACCAACGCTAGGATCATGAAGGATCGGTTTATACAATGGTCCCTCCAATAATACATTGGTCACTTACTAAAAGTTCAGACTTTAGTCATGCAAAGCATATTTGTTCGGATTGCATGATTAAATCGACCTTAGTACAAGATACGAAACAAAGTCCGACAAACTCATCCGACAGGCATTTGGGCAAATAACAGCACCGAAGATTCAGCGTCCAGCTAAGCTCTCTAGGGGTCGAAGGTAGTGCTTAAGGAACCTAAAATGTCGGAATTACCATATCCTGATCTCCCTGACATTTCTCTTATTCACACGTAATCGGCCACCATATGGACTTTTTAGGATTTACGCAAGGATGTTCTTGGAGGAGACAATGTGGAAGAGCTAGTTGGGTGTGCCGTGCCGTGTGTGCGGTAGCATTTGCCAGCATGCCTCTTGCCTGTAGCAACATCGCGGCTGCCAATCACGCGCCCAAACATCTCGAGCGCAAGCACGGGCTTGTAATAGGGCACCTTATAGCTACTCTCGTAGACGTAGGTAAAGGAAAACTGGCTGCTCTGCTTGACCTGCCCGTCGTGACGTTGACGTAGCCAGCCTTGGCCCAGCTTAGAGCGCCTACTCCGTCAGAAATCGTCTACACGCTGTACTAGTTGCAGATAAAGTCAGCATTACCCGCATACAGGGCGACAGTGACGGCCTGCTTGAGCAGCAGGCCGAGATCATCGACTGCGTTGACCTCGCACCCATCGTCGCCGGTCCTGCCAAAAGCGTTGCCCACAATATACGAATAGTCGGAGTAGTTTGTAAAGGCGCCAAGGGCCTCCTGCACCTTGGGCGCGTTAAGGTAGTTGACGCAAACATTGTACGAGAATGAGACGGGGCTAAGGTCGTGGATGTCATGGTCATCGCGGAATAGGTTGTTGTCCATGACACTCTCGATCTTGTCGCTACAGAAGTTATCGGCTTGGACACATGCAGTGTAGTTGCCAGTAGGCTTGGAGCACTCCTTTTGCAGACGCGCCTTGCAGCCATTGGGGCCGTAGAGGTCGTCGTACATTTGCTTAGAGACGGACTCGTTGAGCGTCAAGTCGTACGTGTTGCTGGGCGACACGGTGAAGTTGTAAAACGCCTCGTAGCCAACAACGGGATCGAACCAGCCATTGCCAACTAGCAGGCTCTCGAGGTTGATCTTCATGGCACCGGGGTCTTCCACAAGTTGGGCGCTGCGGTATTTGTCCAGTTGGCCATGATGGGCGCCTTGGGATCAGAAAAGGTGCCACAAGTGCCGTTCACGCCAGCAGGGCACTTGACATCCAGAAGAGTATGGAAGTTGTCATCACTGTCCACATAGCCCGTGACAAGCTTAGAGTAGGAGAGGCCGACATTGGTGGGCTGGTCAATGAAGATCATGTTGCGGAGAAAGAGTACGGGTTGTTGTAGGGCTTTCCGTAGTAATCGACGCCGCAGTGGCCGAGTTCCTGACTCTTTGTCAAGCGCATTGAGCCTAGCTTCATGCTTGCTACAGAGAACGCTAACCGGCCCAGCGATACTTTTCGGTGACTTTGAGTAAGGTGTTGCTGTCATGAAGTAGAATTTAGCACATGATAATGTTGCCTTATTGCTATTGATTTGTTGAAGATGCCGCATGGCTACCCAAAACATGCTCTCTCGATCCGTAACCAAGTGGCTTTCGTCTGCAAGAACCAGCGAGGCCCAGCATGAACGGAGCAGCTTAATTTTGACGTCACCAGCTAAAATGGAGGACGAAAACAGCAAGCCAAACGAGCGGGCGACAAATGCAGCGCGACTGACAATAATAAAGGACCGGGCACAGTTACCATCGAGCACTGATGGTGCGGGGGGGGGGGGGGGCCGGTGTAGTTTGCGGACCGCAATCGGCAACCATCTCCGTCCAGGATTCCCAATCACGCCGTTTGGTTGCCGGCGCGGATTTAAACGTGCCCATCGCTGGCAATACAGCATGAATAGCATGCGGATCAACAGTCTCGTGCTGAGCAGGGCCGTCTGTGTGCAAACCCGGTTCGTATCGCACCAGCATGCTCGCTGACTCGTATACAAGAACCTCACAGAGTGGTTCGGCAGTTGTTCGAGTAGTAGGTTCAAAGAATTGTTTTGATTTTGTCTGCGACTCTTGTACTAGATGCGCGGGTACAATCATAAAGGTCGCTCCGCCGTTCAAGGTGCGTGCATACGCTTTGCTCTGTGAGCCTGGCATGCAAGGGCATTCAATGCCGAAAGCTCTCCCTGAAGGGCATTGCTGGTTCATATCTTCGATATCGATAATATTATCTTGGTTGTGGCGTGTAGGATGATTGGAAATGTCATCCAAAGCAATGTATATTAGCCTTGTCACAGCCTGAACTCCAAGAGCACAGTACGATTTTCCTAGGCCAGTTTCGTCACATAGCAAGCTCCCGTGCCTAGACTTGTTTCTATCGTTGCTACTAGCTTGACTTGCTCGCTGAAAGAAATTGAAGATGGCCTCGAGCTGGTAGTGCCTCAGAACTTTGCTGGTACCAGGCAACTGGATCCCATCTAGCAACTGCTGGTGAGTTACTGCAAAGAATCGTGCGACGCTGTTCACTTCTGACAGTTGCGTGTAGCAGTGCTGCACGAGGTTGCTTCTGACAGAATCTTGCAGAAGTGAAACCTTGTCTGCTTGTGGTCCGTCATCAGATACGTCCGTTAGATCAATACAGCCAGACGAGGCTGAAGGTGAGAGCGTGACATTGACATCGCTTGCTGGCTTTACGATGAGGTCTTGTGGTACCTTCATCATCTCTCCGGGCAGGCCCTCTATGCCAGGCGTAAATAACACCAGGAAAGCATTTGAAGGGTCTGTACTAGGATTGGTTCGTCTCTTAAAGAAGCATTCTGCGATAATAGATAAGCAGACGCGCCATGTTTTATCAGTGTCGAAGCTGAGAAAAACTTTGTATCTTCTAGGACTCCAGGTGTCGTCGAAAGAGGCTGTCTAGGCTGCTTGTCGAGAGCTTGTTTGGACCAAAAAATTCGACAAAGCATAATTTTGAAAGTCGTCGAATGCTGCACCCATTGTAACGAAGTCTCGAAAGATCCCTTGTGGATGTCGATGGGGGTCGACTGTGTATAATACGCCGCTTAGGGCAGCTGCTGCCGTAGAGTCGGCCGGGGCTAACATGCTGATAAGATGAGAAAAGAATTATACTAAGACTCTTAGAACAGTAGAAAATGAATGTTTCTATAGAGTAGGATAGTATGAAAAAGTAGAATAGGAAAACACCGTGAAGTATATTGTAGAGAAGCGGAACACAGGCGAGTAGTGACGGTGAAGTGAAGTGAAGTGGCGTGTATTCTGGGGTGCCTACTAGGTACTGACAACGACACGGTCGCATTTCACCAAAACTGGTTACTCTCTAAGAATGAAAAAGAAATCCGATTTTAAGGAGACAAGAATCGAATATTGAAATTTTTATAGATAATTAAAATACTGTTTTGTAGATAAGAGGAGTGAAAGTTGTAAATATAGGACGTGAATGTTGTCCCACGACAGCGCCTCCATAATTTCCTTTTCTAGAAGCCGAGTCAATCCTATTAGCCAAGGCACAGATCAAAGCTGATCTCTTTATACGATATTTTTAGCCTACTACAACTGTCCTAAGTAATATATTATAGCTTTGGCACCCGCTCCTATTACTCTAAATTTAAGTTTAATCCGATATTCAAAGGTTTTAAAGGCGAGCTAGACCACGGTCAGATTCCTCTTGCGCGTCATATACTATAGAATAGCATGGAGTACTGTAGTAGTAGCCTAGGTGACTGCATGCTACAACGGAACAATACTATGCAGATTCTTCCGCCCGCCTTCGCCCTGTGCACACCAAGTAGCGGGTCTCATGTGGCGCCTCTTTCTTGCCTGTCGTGGTTTGCATGACAGGGCCAAGGCTAGATAGAGCCGGCGCCTTAGAAGAGACATCGCCAACGAGCCGGTGCCGCCCATGGTCCGTGGTCGATTCTACCCTTACAATGACCCTCGAAACTCTCTCTTTGAGCACGATAGTGGGGTGGTAAGGTGGTCAACGATGAAGTAGTACACGTAATTGACAAGTAGTAGACGAAGTGGAATTATGCATACGGACCTTGTTCCTCCATGCTCAAAAAAATAGTTCAATTCAACTATTCAGAGAACCCTATCAACAGTGTCTAAGATCTAACACAAAGGTCGAATTAATGGTATAAAGTACATAGAAAACAGCCAAAAATACTACCATATCATACAATTTGATATTAAGAAGTTTATCTATACTAATTATTTCTACATGGGTATTCTGTATATGGCAAGGTCCCTAGGGTTAGTGGCTGAGTCTCATAACCTTTAGGTGCCCCTTTTGGCTGTACAGTAATAGTATAGCCGTCTTCTGTTGAGTCGATATGTGGATCGGCTTTTAAACCACCCAGTGCAAAAGGCGTACCGCTCTTGCTGCTTTGTGCTGGATATATTATCCCACCCGAGTCAGTTAAATATGGCTGTAATTGAACATCGCACTCAGTAGTACCGTCCTTCTTTGAACAATGGTATGAGCGGCCCTTCACAAAATGGCACTTTGAGTAAATATCGCGAAATAATGTCTCGTGTGCCGTCGTCACAGGAGGCGGCGATGCTGTGGTCTGTGGCGGCACTGCGCTTGTCATAGTTAGGCTACTTTGCTCAAGCGGTGGGGTAGGCAATGCAGAGCTTTGTGAAGTAACGGTGGGGAACGACTCAGTAGATTGTACTAGATCAGATGATATTTGTAGAGATGAAGTCGGGAGAGTAGAAGCCTGAGGAGCTGATTCCTGCGAACTCGATCCCCGAGGAGCTGGTTCTTGAGAGGTTGATTCTTGAGGTGCTAAGGTTTGAGACGCATCGGTAGATGATGGAGCGACTTGAACAGTAGATTTGATAGGCACTGTAGTTTGAATTGCTGGTATCATCGATACCCCCGCTGGCAAAGGACAGATTATGGTGCTATAGCATAATGGTGCGGAGGTTTCAGTCGTATTTGGATTCCATCTGGTATTTTCCGTAATTCCTTCATCGTGACGATAAACTGTAAGAGTATGCAATCCATTCTCACCATCTCCCCAAGATGCCAGCGACGAGGCAGCAAGAGGCAGTGGAGTTAAAAATGGAACAATGTAAGGGATAGAGGCATTAATATGATCGCAATCTGGTCGGGCATTTAATTGTTGGAAATCAGAGCATATGTTATTACCATATATTGGAATCAGATCATTTACAATCTGTCCCAACTTTGGAAGCCAGATGCCCAGAGATGGTGTTGGTGTTACCATTGCAGTTGTTATGATTATAATAAACAGCAACTAAGCTACTTATATAGATAATTTCTAAAAATAGTAATGGATACACGCTAGAATATATCAGGAAATAGTCTTCTCAAGTACCGATGGTTGACTTTTGTTAACAGAAACAAAATGCAACAAATAAGCCACAGTTACGGCAACATAGAAGAGGTTATGAGTATACCAGTCCACGTAAAATACTACTACATAATTTTACTGGTTAAAATATACTGTAATGTAATAATTACTAGTGTTTAGTAGGTATTTTAGAGATTATGCAGTCCCGAGACTAGATGGACGCGCGAATGTTGCATAATACTACCCCTGACACCAGAGATAGCTTATTGAGCGCCTAGTAATGCCATCCAATTATCTTTCCTTCTAGCATGTGTATGGGTTTACGGTGTACTAACTTCAATTAAATCACTTTAGTCATCGTTTCTACTGAGAGTAGCTTTTACGGGTGAGTGTATTGCATGCCACCCCGTGGGCTTTGGTATGGGTTCACTATGAGCTCTTCGCGGTGTTCGGCCTCTTTATCTTGCTGCACAAGATAGCAGCAAGTGCAAAATATAGCCTTAAACCAGTCATTCGCACAAGAGCCTTCGAGGTTATGCTTTTCTCTAATGTCACTAGCCTGTATTGCGGTAGGAATACATCCTAGGCAGAAGCACGAGGCGCAGTGCATGGTGAAGCACTACAAAACAAAGTACAATTAAACAAGGATAATAGTATATACGACATGTACAACTTACAGCGTTATTGTAGTATTTATAGCTGCTCATATCACCATTCTGACGCAGGCGGTGGCTTGTCTTGCCATACGTGATGGAGGGACAGATACAGGTTATGAAAGACGTGCTGGCGGGGGAGTAGCAGTCCCAGAATGAAGAATACCAGGACTGTTGCGACATACTATTTTACAGAGGACGTCTTCTACATGGTTTACTAGTTCTTATATACTCAAAGCCCTTCTTGACTAATCCGACGACACCAATATTCTAAATTGGGCCGTTTTCAGTTGACGCGACCAACCCACCAGCGACGACGATAGTCGCTAAGATAATATCTTCTCCTGCCCCTTGGCTTTTAGTTCGGGCATAAAATAACAGAGAGAATCCATAAAAAAGAATATCACGACACGCCCGGGCACAGTCCTGGCAGGTAGGCAATGGTAGCGCGTGACTTTTTCTTCACCAGTACAAACCATCGTCTCAGCCCCTCAGCAATTAGCACCTCCAGCCAACCACACACAACGCAACTCATAAATATAAATAGACCTCACTTCTACCACTAGTAGTCTATTTCCGGCGCGCTACTATTCCTCGTCAACATGGCAGCAAGAACTCACTCTCAAAGCTCCATCAACACTGCGAATGTTCGGAAGCGCATCCGTCGTACCGCCAATTCCAGCTACGCCACGAAAGACAAGTCCGAGGAGGCCTAGGATGCCTTTAAGATCTTCCAAAACCGGGTTGAACACAAATTTAAAGCATTCGAAGGCGACTGGGAAGCCATCGCGTGCCTTTTTGGCCCCCTGCGTGGCAAGGAGACCAGACAAGTCGGTCCAGACAGCGTCAACAGCAATATTGGAGCAAACAAACGCAGCACCGAAGCGCAGTCATCGCCCTCAGCTTATAATATCTCACTTAGGCTGACTTTACAACTAGACGAACAGGGCCGTTGCCATTGCTTACCAACGCAATTGCCGGACGCGCTGCGCAGAGAAATGCACTCCTGGGAGTTGATGTACCCATACAGGAATGAAGATTTCTGCCATCATGATCAGAATGATATATGTGCCATCTGCGCTCAACCTGTGCGCCAAATGACTCAGAGATCCATCATGAACTCAGTCTTATCGGAAGAACAAGGTAGTATGCTAGCCAATGCTGGAGTACATAAGGCCCTCATTAGATCACCTGCAGACATGGACCGCATAATCGGTTAACGGAATAAAATAAAGATATTTCAGATAAAAAGTCTACTTGATTCTTATTCCTGCGACTCGATCGGAACCGAGCTGGGATATAGGCCGCGGCGTGTTTCCTGCGCAGTGCGCTCTTCGAGAACAGTTTAACATTGTTTCGTCTCGGTTTTAGGAATTCTTAATGTCTATTGGAAGCTATCGATAAGATCTCAGAGATAATATAACTGCAGAGAGACTATTGTATACAAATAATGAAAAAGAAGATTTGGGTGATGTAGATAAAAAGCGCGACAAAAATCTAGCTCTCTTATACGCAAGTTAATCTAGGATTAGGTGGAAGAAAGAAGTGACACCATCAAATATCCCGAAAGTATAGCTGCGGATCTGCTGGGTGAAGAAGATATCGAAGATTTCTTTTCGGAATCAAGTATGGAAGGGTTTATTATTTGCGCTGGCGGTTTTTGTAGGTTTACGCCGTGGCTCTGGCTTAGCAGTCTAGTTACTATTCAGCCTAGGGCGTCGTTGTCTTTGGATACCAATTCCTGCTTTAGCGGGAGTTGTTGTGTTGTCGCAAGTAAGATTAGTGTGCAATAAATTGGGTTGTCGTTGCATCGTCCTTTTCGGTGTAGGTCGTTGTAGTTTTGAAGTAGCATGAGCATGAGAGGTTCTTTGCCGTTTGCTCGTGCTTTCGCTTCCTGAGTTATTAATGGCGCGTTTGTTTTTAAGCCGCTCGCTTCTTCGGCTCCTTCCACGATGCGGCTTTTCACTCTTGGGCTTCGGGATAGCCCGGTACTGATCTTCTGCATTTTTTTTGTCGTCTGATGTCCAATATAAGCCAGGATCACCATTCCATTCACGCCGATACCAAGAGCCCCAAAGGTCCCTGACAATATCTTGTATAGGCGTCTAGTTATCCAATCTATCTCGAATTCTCGTGACCTTGACCTCAGCAATACAAAGCAACCATTGTATACGAGGTATGAGGAAAAAATCGCATGTGGCAGTGGATGACAGCTGCGCGATTATCCCAGGCGTCATTCCTTGTCGCGACTGTATACCTCGGTCAATTTGATCTTGCATCCAGTTGAGATCGACCTGGAACCCCCTTTGTTTATATTCTGCGTTGATTTGTTGCTCAGCGTCCGTGAATTTTGCATTTTCAGCATCCCTGGTACTCAGCAGCATAAACCTCGCAACGGTATCCTGATGTAGCTAATGTTTTGCCTTGATTCCAGCTTTACATAATATCGCTACCATTTTATAGTCACGTATTGATAATGGTAATGTATGAGGTGTCGGTATTGCTTCATTTTATGGCGGCGGAGGTGGGTTGTTTGGCGCGCTGTATTCGTAAGTGGTGTGCTGCATGGCGTAGTGTGGTGCAATGCTGTGGCGGAAGCATTAGAAGCGCAAGGGTGCCGCTCAAGTCCTACCCGGTACCCATGACGATGGAGACGATGATGATAGGCTGCCCTAGCCAATTATTCTCAACCCATCTCGCGCGCTCGAGCGCTGTTTCGGCGATCTTAACCGGATTTTGTTATTGTGCTTGGCTGGCTCTTCGTCGGCGTTACGGGCCTCCACTAAAAATAGAGCCCATGATGTACACAGGCCGGCCCACGTCCCCGGGGGCTAGCCCGCCGATGCACGATCAATCGTTCCGTAATCAGCAGAGGGGCTAGTAAAAGTAAGTAAGCCTTTTTTTTAAGCTAGCTTGCTGGCTTATTTAGTCAATGGTCAACGTTCGATAGTCGTAAAGTATAGCTTGTGATTTTTGGGGGCCGACTCTTGAATAACCTCAGCGTAGCCTCATAGCCGAGGGGGGGTGGGCAGAGGCTACCCTTCGTGGACAACACTAGCATACATCTTTTATTCCTATCGTGCAATATCTTCCAGTAAAGGCAAATATTTGTACTAGAAAAGGCTCTGTATACGTGTCTCGGGCAGCGCGTAGCTACCAAAAAAGACATTTGCCGCTTCCAGACCTGGGACATTAGATGTGGTCGCGCCAAGATCGTCATAGGGCTGAATTCCATCGCCTCAACCACCAGCCCATCTTGCCCGCATACCCAACTCTAAATTATACCAAGGTAGTCCAGACTATATCTATATACTCCTCTTACTCCACCTATATACTTTTCTTCCTCTATTTTACCGTAGTCTGGTTCTATATTGCTCGCTATATCTTCTCCTATCACCAGCCTATCGACTCATATTAGGCTTAACCCGCCAAAGCGCCTTGACACACGCCTCACATTACACCGTGCACCCTGTCTGGTTTCACATAGAAAATTATAATAAAAGGGAATTTATATTCGCATCTATTTAGTCATGTTATATGCGCCGAATTTCTCCTGTGTGCATGCTGTCATCTATGGCTGCAATTCAACAACGCATGGTCCTGTTCATCGACTCACTCCCTTGCACCCCCTATCACCCTATCTAATCCACTCGAAACTGTGTGTAAGATTAATAACAAGGAAATCCCACCATATTAAATTTGGACGAATCTTGTCCGGGCTACATCAGGGTCATCGAAAAATGGCTATAAGAGCTAGAGACTTTTTTTTTAGACTGGGGGGATATACTGGCTATAGATTTGTGTGGTTGTTTCGCGTAAACGGTGTGATTAATCTCCACGCTCGGAGGCAATAACGTGGGCCAAATACTATGGAAATCAGGGATATAGATATAGAATAGTCTTTCTATTAATTTATACTTTTCTTAGTCTATATCTACCTTGAGAATATATGTCAAAACACTATATTGTATACTAACCTAACTATAGAGTACTTATTAATCCTTGATTCTACTTCTCTTGAGTCTAAAGAACTTGTATCTAGATAAACCTGCTTTATAGTACTTTTTTTTTTTTTGAAAAGAATTCCTTTATATTTACTAGTTTTTATTCTCTATATTTCTTCTTCTTTGTTACAGTGAATAATAAGTAATATATTTCTGAGCCAAACGGCCGTATTCTCGGCTCTCCACGATGACTTGGAGGGCAGCGCACGGACCATAACCCACAGGTCTTGAGGGTAAAGGTCCGTGCACACCTTGCCGCTGCGCCACACAGCAAATGAAACTAGCCACAAAAATATCGACGTGGCTTATACAACGGTGTCTGTGGAGCTTTTGGTATCGTTGTAGAGATTAGCACAGCGAGCGCGTGGAGAAAACGGGATACCTAGCCGAAAATAGCTAGCCGATTTGAGCGGACCTACCGTTCCGCCTTCTACAACTGCGCCCGTCGCTGTAACGCGCAAACAAATAAACAAGGTTCGCTCACTATTCTACCCCTTTTATCTCTATTTCGTATATTTTATTCGACATATCCGACAATATGATAGACTTGCCTCACGAAGATATTCTCAGCACTCTCAAAAAGCTCCAAGAGACCATCCAAAACCTCCCGAATCTGCCAACCGACTTAAGAACGTACATTCAACACACCGTCCACCATGCTTCTAAGACAATAAAAGAAAAAATACAATCCTACACGGTAGCTATATTAACGCCAAGACACTATGAAAGTTACAATCTAACATTATTCGCAACAGAATAATACAGCTACCAGCCTAAAGCTGTGGGCTGCAGTCACACGTCCACGTTCCAACCGTGCCCCAACCTTGCTATATTCCCGCCATGATTTCCATAAACTTCCTGAAATCCTCAGCCAAGCTATGGAAAAGAACGCGAAAACAACAGGTATCTTTAAGGTTCGGATTACCGATGCGAGTCACACCTGGAAACCGCCAGACAATCTAGCTTCGGTTAAGTGCAGCATGCAAACCGCTAAGCGTCGAGAAAACGGAACATTCCTTATATCAGCAAAAGACGCCCGAGCAGACTTTTCAGATATGACGACCGAGAGCGGGGAAGTTAGCAAAGAAGAAATCATAGTTGATTTTCATGCCTTCTTGGCGCAAGATACTACCCCAAGCGTCCCTTACCGAGTTGATGTCCTTGTTGAGGATGAGCCAGCTCGAACAGACGCCGGATTTTGCGAAAAGAGTATGCTGGCAGATCTCGATGATGATGTTCTATCCGTTCAAGAACATAATGGCTTGAAGATGCCAGATGGCATCGTTTCCTGCTTTATGTATCAGTCACCTGCATGTAAGGATAAGTATGCAGTCTTTCCGCTGCATACCGATGACCATCGTTTCCTTGCCATACAGCAGCTACACAAAGGCCGGAAAATATGGATTGCTATCAACCCAAAAGGCAATGCTAAGCTTGAGGGCAAAATTCGGGCTTTGAAAGACATGCCTGTGCAGGAATGCTCGCAATTTGTCCGCCACACCGCCTCCTTTATACCTTTACCACTCTTGGAAACCTGGGGCATTGACTATGAAGTCATTGATCAGAAAGAAGGCGAAATTGTCATAGTTCTTGGCGGAGTGTATCACCAGGGCTTTACTGTAGGTGCCTCTGTTGGTGAAGCTCGGAACTATGCCGATAAAAGCTGGAGCGCCAAGGGTTACCGTCAATGCAACAGAAGAAAATGCGGCAAAATTGCTATCTGTGCTGCTGATCTTCATCTTACACAAGATGGCGATGATTTTACGTGGGAGCAATATACTCAAGGGGCTACTGGAGTTTCGGAGGGTAATTCCCTTGCCGAGCCGCAATCCAAGTCCCAACTTGAAGCTCGCGCTGAGTCTAGAACCAGGCGTCGTCCTTTCGCCGAATTTGTCTCCCAAGCTCATAATAGAGCCAAGCCTCAATCAAAACCTCAATCCACATCTCAAACTGAAGCTGATGTTTGTGATAGAGCTCAGGAACAAGCTGTGACTGAGACCGTGCCCCGAGCTCGCAGCAAAACCAAACTACAATCAAAAGTACAAATCAATCCTATCACGCCACAAGCCCGCAAAGAGATTAAGCGGAAGGCTGACACGAAAATTGGAGGGCAAGTCAAGAAGCCTCGCCAGGTGACAAGGGCTTCCCTATTACGAGGCCCGTTAACGTCACTACAATATAACAACGGTTCAGAGCATGAGGCATTTTTCTTTTTAGCTGCAGTGCTTAAAGATGACAATTTTGCGTCGAGCGTAAACAAGTACGTCACAGAACTTGCAAATCCGGCTGGAATTCAACTTGTCGAAAGAGAAATGGCTATAGAATGTATGGGAAAAGATGCTGCTGAGGTTATCAACGATTTGAAAGCCTATACGGTTTTGAAACTGAATGTAGACTATGGGCTGAGAGCTAATGAGCTTGCATTTGCTCGAATTCTTGCCGAGTCTAATAAGGGTTTCGAGCGTACGAACAGCGAGAAAAAAAAGTTATTGCTTGCGAAAATGAACTGGGACGAATCTTCATACGAGCGGACATTGACAAGCGGTAAAAAGTTTGCTCGCTTGTGTGGTGATAAGAATGGCTATCTTGCTATAGCCATTTGCTTATATGAGGTTCCCACTGCAGACAAAGCACTACAACAACTACAAAAATTAGGGCAACTATATTTCGAAAAACTCCGAGATGAGATGCAAAGGATGACTGTGTTTGAGAAATCAAGCGAAATGGAAAAGATATATAGTAGGAGACCAAAAGAGCGACTTCAAGAGATAATGACTACATTTATAAAAAGTTGATAGAGTTAATATTAACACAGGGTCGACCGAAAGAGTATCCGCCCCTTTGTAATATTGAAAAAAGAAATAGTACGTGCCCTACATCAACCACATGTGGCGCAAGATCGCAATGGAACTGTGTGATGCTTGTACTGTACCCCCTTGCGAAGATCCATGACAACAGATCCTGGGTTTTTTTATACGAAGGGGCGTGGAAGTTTCTGGCGTCCATCCCGCCCAACGTCCGTCTGAAGTTCCCGCGACAGGCAGGCAGTCGATAATCGCTCTTTGTTGCGTGACGGGGAAGCGTGGCTGTCCGCACAGGGCTCTACTGTGACGAAAGCTGACAAGCATCCAATCAGCTAGTGGCAGAATAGGAGGGCTGCAAGCCATTTTTGGACGAACTGCTGCCAGGAACCAGGGGTTAAAGCGCAAGGATAGTTAGTACTGACACCAGACGGCCGCTCACCTCTTCGCCCATGGACGACGGTACGCGGCCACAGAGCTGTCCCTGGATTTTACATAGCAATAATTTTACAGCTGCTCTTTTGCAGCTATGGCTAAACTATTAGGCACGAGTAAACATGCACAAATCAGGCTTGTGAAATTATATGAGCCGAATAATGCAAAAAAAGAATTAGGTGTGCTGTGCGTACTATCTGGCGGCACTGAGCCAAGGTCAAGAGGCTCCAATAGGGGATTCCACTGCCCAAAATCGGTCGATCAAAAGTTGTTATCTCATTCATGATTGATTTATTGTGCAATGAACTCTGGGAACGCCCTTGCCTCCTGAGAGAAGAAGTTTTTCGAGGAGAAGTTTGGTGTCATTGCATCATTGAGCAGCCTCACTCGTGCATTTGCAATCAGTAGCCTGGACTAAGAAGGTTACCCGCCGTGTAGCAAGCCAAATAGAGCCTCATTTGCGGCTTTTATATCTCTATAAGCTCTCCAGGCTCAAGTCCAAGTCGTTTCAATATGCTTTTATTGACGAATGCGGCCGGGAGCCCAGCAAAGCACAGCGAACGGAAGGGTGGGCTCCGAAAGGCAAGACGCCTGTCCATTTTGCTGACTTCATTCGTGAGCGACGGCATCAGTTCATCACAGCATATGCTCAAGAAGGCGAAATATTAACAACCGTCTTTCGCGGCTCAACAGACAGCGTAGTATTCGAAGACTTTATTCGGCGCTGCTGCCCTTCTGCCGAGCTCGCTATCGCCATTCTTGTCATCGCCATCCAGTTTTTTTAGTTCGTGATTCATGTCACCCCATTGCTCGTCTGTGAACCGCGCTCCCAGCTTTTGCGCTTCTTCTCTTCCTAGTCGATACACTCGCCAATAGAAGCAAATACATCGCTCGCAAAAAACACCGTATTTTTGCAGCGTGTCTGTCCGCTCGTTCGTCCTGAATGCTACCGGGTGGCTCTTTCTAATTTCTATTCCATGCAATCGCTGCAGTACGGGCCTTGGAACTGGACGTTTTTACGCTCTCACACAGCAATGTGTAGCTGCCGCTATGACAGCGCGATTCTTCTCTATAGCGAACTCGACCAATCGCAGGTCATAGTCTACACCTTGTTGAACTTTATAGCTATATCTATTAGAAAATCATCACTGTCCATCTCAACGTCATCGCGCGAGGTAGTGGTAGGTTCCGTGAATTTTCGGTGCTGAAAATATCTCAGTTGCTCTCTTTAGTATTAGGAGTTATGGGATCACGCCCTGGCGATGCCGTTGCCGCCGAGTTATATTAAGAATCAACTATTGGTCAGTGGGTATGTAAGCCAACAAAAAAGTCAATTAGTATTTTCAGCAAATCACAACTAATCTGTCAATTCTATGACTTCAGTGTCACTTTCACCTTATACCCGAAAAAATACCAAATTAGGAAAGTGGGTACGGATAGGGTGCAAATATTACTCCATGTGGTACCTAGCCAAGACAGTCTCCATTACAAACAGCCAGGAACTGTTACTAAGGGGTTTCTTTTAGCCCCATCACTAGTCGTATAAAATGATTTCTATTGCTTGTTCGTTTTTTCGTTTCGAGCGCTACTCATGGTTAATTTTGCACTTGTTAGAAGCAATGAGTCTAGATGGTGTAAGATGTTGTGGAATACCTACTTATAAGGTGCCATCAGGTAGCTTTGCCGTGGCTGAAAATAGGTAGTCTTAGCTTAGCAGGTGTGGACAACAACACGGTCGCATTTCACCAAAGCTAGTTAATCCCCAAGAATATTAAAGAAAGCTGATTTTTAGAAGAGTTGAAACAAATATTGAATTTTTTTTTATAGATTATTAAACTATCTTTTGTGGATGAGAGGACTTTGGGTGAAGGGGTTGTAAACATGGGACGCCGAATCTTCTCTCACAACAGCGCCTCCATTATTTCCTTTTCTAGAAGCCGAGTCAATCCTATTAGCCACGGGCATAGATCTGAGCCGATTTCCCTATGCTATACTATAACTGCTCTAAATCTAGCAGCGGCCGCTTTGCATAAGTTCACTCGATTTAATCTAGCCAATCTGTTTATCAGCACGGTACTATGAGCATGTGGAAGTAGGGTGCACCCTGCTTCCCGCGTTACTAGCAGCCCGCTGTTAGCCCACCAGCGCCGAGGGCCCGTCTTGCGCCCCTCTCTCTTCATCTCCATCGCCACCCAAAACTACAAATAAACATCGCCCAGAAACCTATATACTATAGATGGTCTGCTCCAATGCGTAAGAAGCATTACAGCAGCTGCAGAAGGGATAGCATGAATGGGTTAATAGCGTGTATCTCCGCCATTGGGTGATGCACCTGGCAACTTTTGATCGTTCCAGACGACAAACATTCGCTATGGGAAACACTGATAGACGCACAAGGTTGGCATGCTTATTCAGTATCAGCGATGGACGATATTTATAGCTAAGGAGTAGATTAGAATAGGCTCGAAGGAGGGTTAGGAGTTCTATTTGTTTCGAATCAAGTTCAATCTCTTTAGTGTTTCTCTAGATGTTTTGTCTATCCCTCTCCACCATATGACGGTGTCTAATACGTAAATTTGCCCCGCTTGGAGGCGCGTACTTGGTCCTCGGAGTCTGGTGAGGCCATGAGTAGATGTAAGACGTCCTCAGTGGGTAATCGAGGTTGTCTTTGGCCATCTGTCTCCGCATAGGGATGTCGAAGCACTCCTTTAATGGCGGTTGCAAATGCTAGTTTGAAAATAATTAGTTCTACCGACTAGATATCATATACACGGCTCGAGATTTCTTACCCTTATCTGGCCACTGTTCTAGACACATCATGGCCATTCTGTATTTCTCATGAAACCAGTTTTGCTCCTTTAGTCGACCAGGCCTCCATGGATTCAACTTATGATCCCATGGGTGGAAGCCTTCAACCAGCAGAAACCCGAGAACACCAAGAGACCACAAATCAGCCGTGCCATCAAATCCATGCATTTCTCTTTCTGGAGATAACCAGCTAATAGTCCCTCCTATATGCGTATGTGGTATTCTCTTCGCCTCTGGAGTCGGCGCAAGGATCGCGCCATCAATGTCCAGTAACACAACTGAATTTGGGTCGTTTTCATCTCGCAAACCGATATTACTCGGCTTTACGTCAGATACAATAAAACCGGCAGAGTGAATGAATTTTATGCCACGCAATACTCTCACTAGTATTATCTTTTGATCCGCTCTATGCTGAATGATTAGCAAACATAAATAGCTTTTGTGGAGGAGCTACCTACTGGGTGAAAGTACGGGAGAAGTCCCTTTTTTGGTGACGCTGTAGCAAAGTACACGCAATCACAGGCGAAAGGAGCAACCAAATATCGACATCTGAGTTGGTTTTCATGGGATCATTGTCGATTATATCCACAAGTGTGACAATCAAGTCAACTTGTTGTGCCTTAGCTATTGAGCTGATCTTTTTGAAGTTCTCAATCTGGCCTAGTATACTCGGGGTATACTTGTTTTTTGTTATAGAAATACGCTTCATAGCAACAACCTGGCCAGAGCTATCGAAGCCAACACTTACCTTGCCAGATGAGCCCTTGCCAATAATGCCTACAGCCGAGACAGTCCATTTGCCGATGCGCATAGTGTGCTCTTCGCTCGGCGTTTGTACTAAGCCCAAGAACGGACTCGGAACTATGTCGGCATGTTTTTCCATATATTGCCTAAAGAGTTGACTGCTATCGACTTCATCAGAAGAGACAGGCAAATATCTCGCCTTGAACGTTAAACTGCCAAAGGTGACGAACGACTTTTCCTTCGTCAGAACGTGGGGTTGATTCGGCTCGATTGCCTCTCCGTCTACAGAGACTTTCGCGTGTTGAGGCCGCTCGACTGACACTCGGCCAGTTTCAGTAATCTGGATAATAGCATGGTTCTGCCGGACGTTCACACCCGCCGCTTTGCTAAACGTAAGAGCCAGTTGATTGGGATTTGAGCCGACTCGAACGCGACCTACTTTCCAGCCAACCTTGGGATTTTTTGGAGGGATTTCAAGATCTAGAGAGTATCCACCACTCCAGATAAGTGACTCAGCCTGCATCGAGCTTGATTCCTGTGGTGATGACAAGGGCGATGAGGATAACGTCTGTGCCACTAACTCGCGCCTTAGCTGAGCGACCTCGGCATCGTGAATCTGTTCATCAGAAACAAATAAATATTGCCAAACGGAAGACTCCGAATCTTCTTGGTCGTCTACTGCTTGCTGAAACTGGCCCCTACGCTCTCGGAGTTCACATACAAGGTTAGAAAATTGTAGTTTAGCCTCTGCATTGTAGGGTACGAGCTCAAAGAATACATTCGACTTGGGTGGTACTCTCGGCGAATTTTCGTTAGTCCTTTGACTACTCGCAACACTACTGGTATAGACCATGGTCTGTTCTGTTAGAACGATGCACTTCTTCAGGAGAGTCCAAACACTCACCTTGGGGAAGTTGTGCTATCACGTGACCTTTTCAACCAGCACTTTGGAGGTCACGCATACCAGTTCAACCACAACAACTTCCAGCTATGCCCACCGATTTTAGCGACACTATCGATCATGACATTTGAATCAACATCCGAGTATTCTCCGCCTGTAGAATACGACAATATAGTACCGACTGAAACAACATCAACACCATCCAACTGGCAATGTTCTGGCTTGTATAGCGAGATCGGCCATGCATCTTCCACCAGACCGTTCATACCCGACCCCATAAAGCTAGCCTCATACTTAGAACCATTAGAGGCTGCACAAACTGCGGGCGAGTGCTTATGGCAGCCGAAGCATGTTCCCTCGAGCCCTCCCTCAACCCCCCCAGACCTTTTAACGGACCCCCAGGCGTCGCCTTCGACAACAACCCTCCATCGCCGCCCGGAATCCCAGAGTACACAAATTGAATCGAAGGTATCAACACCTAGTACATCAAACGAACCCCACACTCCTCCTATGCAGATTACGCGAAAGCGACAACGTGAGAAGTGCGGAGATGGTGATGAAAATTACCCTGCCAGTTTACCGCGTAAGACACGACGTTTATCGCGGCGTGGGAAGTTGACACCCGAAATATCTGAATGAACGTCTCTTTAGAGGCTGGGATAATAAATAACTGCGCTAGCATTGTGGTTTATTCGTGTTCTCCCACCTAGCGAAACTAGGGGAGTCCTGGCTAGTCCGGGCCTTATTCGTCAACTCTTTCCGCTCCGTCGACATCGGAACACGCTCCCATGGGCCGTTTTCTACAGCATTATCAACTCTCACAATTCTGGTAAATATGAGGGACGCTATCATACCGAGGGAAGATGTCTGTTGCACCGTATCTACATGTTTGTGATTGGGTCCTCTGCTATGCCAAGTCACTATCAAGCCAATGAAAGACAGAGCAGTGCGGATTGGGCTGTTGTAGAATAACACTCTGCAGTTTCACCAACAGTCAACTATTGCGGAGGATGATACGTCCAATTTCAGAAGGTCGTTATGGCTGATAAAATTCCCCGCTCAGCATTAGCGGGATGGTCAGCAATACGTTCAGTCCACATGTCAATTCTGCGGCACTACTGTATACTACAGCTAGATTATTCACTATATAGTAGTTCCAGAGAGATGGCCAGTCCCCGAGACAGCTCCACCAAAAATAAAGACGAATAACCAGAGCCTCCCACGTCTTTAGGAACCGACCATCGTTTTAATCTCAAAGTGAAGATGAAGCGCTAGCTTCATATATATTGTTGGCCGAGTCTGCTCAAATTACTACGCACTGGCGACGAAGCTATTACTTAGCACTTGGAAGTCCTGGTGCAGGAGGTCTGAGCGGTTCAGGGGCATAGGTATTTCGGCAAGCGAGATAGCTAGAGAGATATTCTACCCAGCATACGGCGGTAGGCACCAGCGAGTCCAAGACAGGCGGCAAACGAGTTTCCTCTGCAACCTAGGCACCAATGCCATGTGGAGGTATTGCAACACCTAGCCACAGTGCAGCAGCCCCGGCTTCCAGCGGTTGGCGGGCTTATGAAGATGACGAAACACTAACGTCTCAGTGCTGAGCCACGTAGTGGACTGGTTGAACCCATGCCTGACAGCAGTCTACACACAGCAGCACAACAAGCCGCAAAAGCGCGAAGATATCAAGCCTACGCTGATGGCCGAAATGCAGAAGCATGGAGACAACAGCGAATGATATGATGAAGACGACACTGAAGAAGATGCTGAATCATTATGATGGAGGAGAGAGTGCCAAGAGCTACGCGCCAGCATATGGCCTACTTCCAACGCCCAGAGGGCACATCAACGCTGGGTATACGCTACGGGCAGACAGACGACGACAGTAGACGACAGTACTTACAAAGAGCGCTTTGCTGATGCAGCATGGCGCGATATACTGAGCGCTGTATCCGGCGTCCCCGGTGCGAGAGGTATAGTACCTTGGGAAGCCGAAGGTAAAACAGCCACTAACTGCGCAGATAAGAACACTACTGCTGCCAGTATACGCCGTAGAATAGCCGTACCGACTCGACGCACTGGAAGAAAATGGACGAGAGAAGGTGCTAGACCGTTGTTTACAATTCACTACATTTGGAAGCGACCATCTTTTTACGATAAGGGTGAAAGCTGAGACGGAGCGCCTCCTCGAGCAGGGTTCCGATAAGGATGAGGCGACCGCTGTTGTTACGTCTCGGTGGGCGGATCGCGGTTACGAAAGATTATCAACAGGCTCAATTAAAAAACTCCTTAAGACAGCCGTTCAGAAGCGCGTAGGGCTGGCACCAGCTGAAATTCCAGAACGCAAATATGGCACTTGGGAAGGCATCATCATGTCACGGCCATGGTTTCAGTACCATATCGCATACACTGAAGTAAGCGTGTCACTACCAAAGCACCGCAAGAGACACGCCGCGGCCACTGTAGCGCCCGCCCGACTTGCGAAGAAAGCAAGGGTAGACTACCGCGTCACAAGGAGACGAAATAGCAAAGATATCATAGACAGTCAAGCTGTAGCCACGCTAAAAGCCCCAAGGCGTAGCGCTGCCGCGCATAGCAGGGTCAAGAAGACAACTATCAGAACTAAGGCGCGGCCGAGAAGGACGCCTACAACCAGAATATAATAAATTTGAAGACTGTATAGAGCAGCCGCCTCAACTAGCCTGTAATATACGTCGTTCCTATATTTTAGCCAATAACTCATACTTACATTTAGCCGCTGTGCAGTTTGGAGCCGTAATATGCCCCGTTACTATTTTGGCAGGGACTGTTGTCGACGAGTGCGCTAGGTTCCGCGCTGGGGCCGGTCCGACTCGGGATCGAGTGACAAGGCTGACACGGGGTAGCTTCACGCGTAGCATTATTAAAACTCTCAATTTAATAAAGGGGCGTATGATTAGGTTTCTCTATCGTGTGCATTATGTGTAGAGTATTCTGGGTATCGTAAGTTTATATGGAAACGTCAACATTAAGTATCTCTTGCATCCAAGCTTTGAATTCGTTGGATATATACTTCGCAATCTCACGAATGACTGCAAGGAGCGTTAGAGCCCCTAACACACTTTTGGTGTCACCGATGGACACATCTCCAACCATTTCTATACGGAGACCACGATCACAGCCGTAGAAAAGCTTCCAGTCGTGTTCCACTGTTAAGATATGCGGCAGCGTTATAGAAAGAGGAAGCTGGCCTTTGCGGTGGGAGTACTTTGCCATAAGGAACGAGGCGAACCTTAGATTCTGGGCTGCAACGAATATGCCTAGCTGAGTTCTTCCTTCTGCAGCCGAACCTGTGGCTTTTGTCTCAATAAAAGTGGCGGGAGGTCGGAGGTGGAAGGGCTGATAGTTCGTATGGCTTAAAGATTTTCTGTCGTCTAGCTGCGATACGACTGTTTGGCGAATTAAATCTGCTAAAGGCTTGTCGTCGTCGTTTATAGTAGGGTCGAGTACTATAGCGATATCGATCTTGCTTTCCAATGATATTCTCGCGCCATTCGTGACTGGGACAAACGCCGGCAGAATTCTAGCATCGGTTGCTGGCTCACTCTCAACCTCTCCACCATACTGTTCCAGTGCCAGCTCCAGAAGAGGCTCATGAACCTTCCAATTAAGGCCAGATTCTCCCCGTCCAAGCTCTCGGCAGCGACGGCTTTGGCCAACAATATGCTGTAGTCTTTGGAGTACTCTAAGGTCCCTATCGTGGTTATCGCTCGGCTGGGAATCGGTAAACCACGAATCTGGTAACTGGCGCCCTAATGCGGAACAAATCTCAGCTCGAATGCTGCACGGCAAAAACGCAGACCGTAGCACGGTGATTTCGTCAATTCGCTGATGCAGTAGTTTTATGTCAATTGGCAGCTGATTCGCTGTATCTTCGTCGAGATCCTTGTAGAAGACCGGCTTTTCGAGGGATTCGAGATGGAACTTCTTGGCCGTCTTGGTAGGACTGCTGGATCGATTGGAAGTTGTTGATGAAGCCCTGGACGATTCTGAAGGGGGATAGTTGGGTTGCTGTAGTACAGGAGGCTTTGGGATTCGATAGACGTAGCTGTTATTAGGGGTCGGTGTACGGTTTATATCGTCATCATCGGGCGCTGTTCGCTGTCTTTTTGGTGGCGAACCGTTGGCCATGGCATAGCTAGACGGAGGGGGAGTAGGAAAATCTGGTGTTGAAGTAGTTTGAGTTTTTGTATAGTTGTCTCCAAAAAGCCATTCGTTCACACGAGCCAGTGCATCAACGCTGTCGCTCATTGTTGGTTTGTCGTTAAAGTGGTTGTTACACTGGAAGATGGGGTATTATTGGTTCGAGGTCAAAGTTGACGTTGTTCGTTGGCGGGTCAACGAGTGCCTTTGGGCTTAATCTGGCAACACCAGACAATACAAGAAGAGGCTATCATTATTCTGCATCAGTTACTTACTATAATATTCTTTATTTAAGTTATATTAAAATTAATAATATAATATGTGCTATGATAATTTTGCGATTTATATATACTATTACACTGGTGGCTTCTGACGCTCCGGCTTGTCTGGCGTGGAATGATGTTCGCCTGGCTGTAGGGCGCTTTAGGCTTTTAGAGAGCGTGGACAGTAGTGAAGATTGGGTGCTATACTTTCGTGGTCGCCAGGTTTCGGCATCATCACCACTTGCGAAAAACAACAACCCCATCAACAGACATGGCGGCCAGATCTAGCCCAGTCAAAGTGGCGGCCCCCAGGGGAACCTTTCCCGCCTCGCCAAGCGAACGTTCTGACTGGGCCACTGTGCAATATACAATACACCACCACCAGCGCCCACTACCAAAGGCTGATCACCACTGCTAAACGTCTGCCTGGAGGTTTCTGGCTGCCCTCCCCGACACTATGGCGGCGTCAGAGCACATAGCGGGAGGGCTTCATAGAGTTCAATATGGCGCTATGGTTCGAAACAACTCCTGTCAGACGGATGGTGCCCGTCGCGCCTAGAGTAGACCTACCCTACAGCGTTGCAGAGCGCGGTGCAGTGCAGCCGCTGGCTGTTGCCTGCCCTTTGGACAACCGTCGAGAACTTCTAATCCTGTATCTAAGCTTTGTTGCATGAAAACATAAAGGCTTTTGTTATACAAGAGTGGTTTTGTTTCTGTTATCAAGTCGTTGATAGGAGATGCAGACGCAGAAACACGGGTGGTTTCCGCCGCGGCTGCAGCAAAGGCCAGCTAACGTGCAAAGCCAAAGGAGAGGTGGAAAAAATACACATGGTAAAAAAGCCCTTCTCGCTTTGCTTTCTAGATTATTTTTTTCGGTTTTTTTTCTTCTTATTTTACCTCCAAATCCAAGCGTTGGATGACTTGCAAAGCCAGCGAGCTTACGCCAAGACAACATAGGGCTGAAACACATCGCCTCAACCACCAGTCCATTTCACCATCGCGCCCACCCTTAAATTATACAAATACTAGATAGATTGTATCTATATACTCTCTTTACTCCACCCATTGGATTTTTGTTATTTGTTTCGCCATGGCCTGGCCTTATCTTGCTCTCTACGTCGACTGCTGTCATCAGCCCGATGATGCTCATCCAGATTGTTCGTCAGGGTATATTACGACACGCCTCGTATTACCCCGCGCACCTTGCTTAATTTTACACCCAGAATTATACTAAAAGAAACTACACACGATTTTCAATCTATTCACGCCATGTATCCTCCAAGTTTCTCATGTGCATGCCGTCATCTAGCGTCCCAACCCAGTAGTACTTGGCCATTTTTCATCAGCTCACTCCTCACACGCCCACCACCCCCCTGTCTTGGTCCACTAACCCCATTCACCCCACCTCGCCGAGATCGAAATCTCGCCAAAATTCTGCTTACGATTACTGTACAAAACACAAAAAATAAATAAATCCATCTTACTACTGTATGATTCTTTCAAGCAAAAACACCATTCTATTTTGCCACGTGCGGTATAGTATAAAAATTACTGCCCAAGCGCACTATAATACTCTCGGAGGTGTAATGGTCACGGAATTACGTTGAACCGAGTATCCCTCTGTTCGGTTGATGCCTTGCTCCGTAACCACGACAAACACAAAGACGCGCAAAAGACTACAGTACACGTAGATCAAACACCCAGCAATAATTTCCCTCGACATGGGCAGTTCTGATCTTCATCGAAGCTCGCAGTCATCCGGAAGAACTGTCTCACTGCATCTAAATTGTAACGGTCTCAGCCGAAAATATTGAAAACTAGCTGAGCGACTACTACGAGTATCCGAAGATGGAGAAGAAGTGATCGAAAAGGGGCTATTTCAGCTAGCTGCAATAGCTTCTTATATGGGTCCCTGGTCGAGATATTCTCCTCTTCAAACACCAGACCCAGATACCGGCACCATGAATATTGAACAGACCAGTTCTTTTGCGCCGTTGAGTCGAACACCTCCAAATCAGCCAGCGTTGCCTCCGTCGCCTCCGCCTACCAAAAAAAGCTCAACATCAACGAGCATCGCGTCGGTCCGAGATCTGCAGCATTATTGTAAAGATCACTCCCTGTTGGATGAAGTCAAAGCGAATGAGTATACAAATATCCCCCTCAGCAAGACCTTCCAACCACATTACCACATCACTAGGATTGAGCAGTTTATTCGCTGCTTCGACTGCTATCCGACCAGCATTCTCGTTCGCATGCCGTCGCCAATTCTTGAATTTGTAATTAGCGGCTTGGAGCGGGAGTACACGATCCAGCAATTCCTATGCGGTGGCAAGTGGCAGGATGTCAAATTAGGTCGCTCATCCCGTGTATTCCTCGACAACAAGAATGAAAGCCGTCAACCTGACATAAAATTTCGGCACAAACAACAACACATTCCCCGAGTTATTATAGAGGTGGCGTACACTCAGACCGAAAAAGGGTTGGACGCACTCGCCTCGGACTATATTCTGAAGTCTGATGGGGAGATCAAGACAGTAATCGGCGTGAACCTCAATCCGTGGGGGAAGCCATCTACCGTTCAAGAATGGAAGGCGGTAATAACCGATTCGGATGATCCGGAGTATGATGAGGAATTACGAGTCGAAAGAGGTCCTAAAAAGGTAGGAAGGCATGACGCTTGTGAATAATGTGTACTGACATGGAGCAGGTTTTTCGGGAGGCGGACGGCTCTCCAGCCAACGAAGAAGAATGTATTACGATCCCATACTCTGATTTCAGCGACGATTCCAATGCTCAGGAACCCGGCATATCTATAAGTCTGCAGAAAATTTTCGAAATTTATGGCGGGGCTGAAGATATGAACACTCGAAGCGAGGTGGAGGAAGTAGACCGGCCTACGAAACGTGTGAAGTGTATTGGCCGCACTCCAAGCCCCATTGAACAGCTTAAGCCAGAAGCCGAAGCAAAATTTCTCGCAGCCGAGAAGGCCGCCGAGGACGTCGGAATTTGAGCCATTAACAGACGATGAGCATGAGTCACAATCAAGCAAGTAGAAGAGATGAAGAGTTTGTGCTAGACCGGCACGTGTAGGTTTTGTATGATATACATATGTCATACGGCAAGAGCTGTGGCAAACAGACGGCCCAGATGACGCTTTAGACAATATTCTCGAGAAGATTTTGATGTTGAAGGCCCAAGTTGATGTGCAAAAATCACACCAATACACTGCAAATATGCTGCGACAGCGCACATTGAGTAATCGATCCCCTCCGAAGCAAAACGCTATTATTTCCAGCAAAAACGGCTTCATATTTTGGAAGACAACAGGCGTTTGTTCCAGCGGTTCGTAGGGTGCGAAAAGTCGGCCTAGTGCACTGTGTCCTCCGTCAGGCTCTCCTCTGCGCTGCTGCTACTGCTTCTTGTGACCGTGCTTCCCCGTCTGCTACAGTTCGTTGTAAAAGTCATATTGGCGTCGGATAGTCCTTTATTCCAAGTCTTCCTACGCACTTGGTGGCTTCCCGGGTGGGAGAGGTGGAAGAATTGTTAGACTAAATCTGTAATTAGGAGAGAATAGTTGTCTTGCTATCACAGGTTCGTCCATTGTGGAAAGCGAGCTTGTATATTGATTTTCAAGAGGCAGGATACTCGCAAACAGTATCTCGTTTATTTATAGTAGATGATAAAATTTCGATCAATGCTTTACCCTGAACGCCAACTTCCTTTATATATAGAGTGATCCTTAGTCTAAAATGAAAATGAAGAAGCACTGGCCTGCACACGTTGGCCCTTAGAACGAGAAATTGAAATCTTGATGCGCATCAAATAATGTGGCCTCACTGAATTGAAAACCTGCAGTTGTTAGCATTAGTTCAGCTTCATGGGCTTAGATATATTTACCTCCGTCGATTTCACTGTCTGTGTATGCCAAGAGTTGATCGACTTGCCATGGCTTGTCAATGTCAATGCACTGCTGTGCGCTCAAGCCGTTAATTTCAAGCAAAGGCTCCCCATTTTGTGAGCTCATAGTCAATTTATTCGCGAAGTTATATGATGTCTCTGCATCTTCTCCGTTCCCATAGATCAGGGGAGAGATCACCAAGGGCATCTCAGTTGTTGTAGAGTCCATCACCTCTGGAGTGAGAGGATGTTTGGTGTCGGGAGAGTCTTTGTCGGCCATGGAAATGCTAGTCGCTGTTGACCACGAATCACTTGGCAAAACAGTCTTGGAGGACACTGAGGATGTCATGATGGAATGTCGGTTTTTGGTCATCTTTTCGACAAGGCAGAGCCCTTCTTCTGGGCAGTAACCGTTTTGCACCATTTCCAGCACCAAGTCTACCTCTGTGCTCGGGCTGGAACGGCAGTGTTGTCGAATCTTTTTCAGAGATGGCTCCGGTGCGACTTGAACAACTTTGAAATTTCCATCAGTGTCTTTGACAAGCGCTCTCCCGACGACTTTGAAATACGCAGCTGGTTCGACAACGTGCATGACTGGGCAGGCATATTTCAAAAAGTCTGCCAGGGGCACTTTCGGCTTCCCGAACTCATCGCGCAAAATAGAATAAACCTTTGCGATCAGAACCCATTTGTTTCTAGACGGTTCGTTGTGCCAGAGCATGGTTAAGCATGGTGAGGCATTCTTCTGAGGGAGATCGGGAAACATTTTCACGTAGTAGCCTAACTGCGTAAGTATTTTTGAATTATTAATGTCAAGGGAAACCTACTCCTGAAAGCCATGAAGGCATTGAGGGGGCGTCTGCTTTTCGTCTTGGAGGCCACCATAGTTGGTTCGGAAGGTGCAGATTCAAATACAGTACACAGCGCCGTACCGAATGTTTGGGACGGTGGCTCTGGGAAGAAAACCGAGCACAAGCTTTGAAGTGTATTATCAGCAAGTAAATGAAGAAGTTCTATAGCTGGAATAGTGGACAATCTACTTGTCAGTTCTTCACGAGAGACGGCCATATTTTCCATGCTTAGATGTAAAGCTGTTTGGAAGAGCTGGTAAAGTTCATGGTGCTGGGGTGTGGGTGTAAGTCGGTCAGTGTGGGGGTAGGGAAAGCTTGCTCACACCTCTCACTTCCTGTTCACCCCATGCCAAACCGAAAAAAAAGTGAGCAGCAGCTCAGCACACTGGCTCTAAAGTGAAAGTTCAAATTACAGGCTAACGCTGCTACTGGGTACTATGATCATGCTTTTTTGCCTCGCCGCGCTCAGTTCCTGCCTATTTCAATAGCTCTCATTTTGTGAAAGACAGAACAAAAAAGTCGTCGTCCCTCCCTTCAGGTTCATCTTCAAATCGAATAGCTCTGATGCATGCAGAGAGAAAAGGAAGCGTTGCGTGGCCGGCGGAGTCAACTTCAGGATAGGTCAGCTGTACTCTTGTTAGTGTCTCCCATTTTCATATCACATCAGACATACAAATGGTTCTAGTAAAATGTACTCGGGCACAAGTCCCAGCAAACCTGTAGCGGCCTATAATATCAGCTTTGGTATGTTTTGGAAGGAAGAGGGTGTGGTACCTCTTCTGTATATTCTAATGGTTGGTATCGACAGCCAGTAGACTCTGACAGGACTGTAAACTGTCGTGCACTGGCATTTGACGAGAGGAGCACTCTAGAGCGGCCAGCCTATATTAGATTAGTGTCTAATCTCGTCTTTAGCACAGAAACTTACTTGGTCAAATCTACTTTGAAGATCATGATAGTAGTTCACAAAGGTGTCAGACAAGGTCAATGCCGAATCGGGAACATTGTAGCACAACCGGTGCTGCTGAGCATTGCTGCCAAACCTTGGGGCCCAAGCATTGCGTAAAAATTTATTCCATGAGGAGCCTGGTATTGTCCGGCACGGGTGCCATGAAGGAGCAACTGTCCAATGCCCTTGGCCGTCTTGGACTTTTAGAGACCGTCCATCACGAGACATTCTGACGTATTTGTTGGAAGCGCCAAAGACTGAACCTGGCCTCTCTTGTCTAGGCTTCCGTGCTTTGGAGTGTATACGTCTCATAAGCTTCAAATAAAGAGACACAGCGTCTTCACCGATGCATAATATTGCATTTGATATCATCGGTTCGTCTGCAATCAACTCATACTGCATAGCGTAGACCAAATGAATAAGAGCAACTGCCCCTTCAGCAGCGGAGGCTTGTCCGTCACAAATTCCTTGTTTCTCAGTTCTAGCCTTTGAGCAAAACAGGAGAGACCAGATACCCAGAGTCTTAAGGCGGGAATTGGCCGACTCATCTTCCGATTGTCCCTCAACCACACCGAGTACGTCAGTGACTCTGGCACGCTTTGCTCGGGCAAGTGCAGGTAGAGTGCACAAATACCATCGTATTATCAAGTTCTTCATCAAATCTAACACTGGCATGTTTTGTCGGTCGGATGTGTCGAGAATCTTGTCGAGAATCATATTCGATCGGTCTCCGTGTTCCAAAAGGGCTTTCGCTAGGTAAAATGAGTCACTGCCAGTGGCTATAGCATAAATTAGCATATGTTAATTGACAGCTCACATTCACGAACCTGAAGCTGTGCAAGACGTAGTTGAAATATGCTGGCATGCCCGCAACATTTCAGTGGCGCTGCGATACAACTCGCAGACAGCATCTTGGCTGGTCGCAATCAAAGGGCCTTCTGTCCAAAGAGGCTCAAAATTCATTCCGCTGGTCATGATGTAGACAAGTATGTGTGTGATTATTTTGGTTATGGAGTGGATGTCTGTGCACGCGCACTGGTGAGGCCGACATATGTCAGCGGCCGCCAGCTGGCAGAACCAGCAGCGCTGCAGCACTCACTTTACCATCACCAACTCCAACCACCAAAGTCCGAGAATCACGGTCAATATATCGGCACACAGCCCAGTATTTGCGGTTATGATTGTTTAATTGTTAGCTTCTCTTCTGTCATCGAGGGAGCTTTTGGCGGGCGGACTTCTGTTTCAAGGCTTCTTTGAGAGCCTACCGTAGTCGTATCCAGGAACTAGGCGGGCAGCTTGGTTCTTCAGGCTAGGAGCAGTTGTGGCGCCCCAATTCCCACTAATACAAGTCCGCAAATCTCGGATGGCCATTCCTTACTGATTTGAATCTCTCAGGAGGCTGGCTCCGACCGACTACAACTATAGATGGTCTCCAAGTTCGATAACTGCTGTCTATATAACCGAATACGCCGAATCCCTACGTTATCATGAGCGACTCAAAAAGACCATTGTAGAAATAGTCAACTCTTAAAAAAAATTTCTTCAAGCACACTTGAGGCTACGCTATGACTATTTGAAATAAAACGCCACCAACAATGGCATAACACTTGCGTAGCCTTGTAAGAGCAAGCCACTAACAGACGATTCGTCCCACTCCGGATTCGTAATTGACGATCAATCCGATGTCCACCCTACGACGCCCGTCTGGGCAGCCTCACACAGTGGTACAGAGCCTCACACATCCAAACGATTCTGCACTTCAATATGAGCACCAAGGTCGGAAAGAGCATCCATAGAACAAGACTACCACTGCCAGCAATTTTCAACTCTACAGTGCCTATAGGAAGATGGCAATGTCCTCCTAAACTTGCCCTCCAGTTGGCAGCAGAGCGCCTGGTTTGCGACTGGCGTTCGTGCCCGGTGCTGTTGGTGGCTGCCGTTGGTGGACCGCGCCCGCAATTTAGTTGCCCACCACCCCAAAGCAAACATCTATAGTATCCATGTATCAAGACATAGCGGCACTATTACTCTACAGATGCGCTGTCCTTGACGGCCTTTTTGAGAAGCTTTTTACTTTGGTCTTACGACTAAGCATCTATTTACACTTGTCCCTTTGGAAATTACAAGTAAAACTACCTACCTTCTGCTTCTTCCAGGCTACAACTTCCCTCTCCAACTCGATCACACTGGCGCAAACGATGAGCACTACACATGCCTACACGGGCGGCATTTTCCAGAAACCGATATAATGACTCTTAACAACCGTGGGCCGTGGTCTAAGACCGAAGATGCCCATCTCATGCGGCTTATCAAGACCAATAGCACTTTCAACTGGGTTTATATAGCTCAGACGCTCGGCTCACGCACCCCAAAGCAATGCAGAGAGCGATATGATCAAAATTTAAGGCCTATACTAAACCATGATCCCATCACCCCGGAAGAAGGTATTCAGATTGAGCGCTTGGTAGATGAACTAGGTAAGCGCTGGGCTGAGATCGCACGTCGCCTCAATGGTCGCAGCGACAATGCAGTCAAGAACTGGTGGAATAGCAGCCAGAATCGCCGCAAGCCAAGTGAATGCCGGCGAACTAGACCTAGGCTTGGCTCCCACGCTTACGGCGGCATGAACTCTGGTCAACCCTCTCCGACTCCCGTCTCCGCTCCCATGCCAAACTTTGGTTACCATTCATCGCCATCAGACCGTCTGCTTTCGTGGCCCGTAGATTCTCTCTCCTCGACCTCTGCGTTCAAATCACCTCCAAACTCCCGCCGCACTACGGCTGCTAGACTATCCGTTGTCACCAGTAGCATGGTTGAGATCCCTCAACCCAGAGCCTGGTCTGCCACATCATCCAACAGCCATAGCTCTCTTCCGGGCTTGAGTTCGCTGATGAATCCGACAAATAGACTGGAGCCGTCTCAGTACATATCACCTCAACCTCTCTCACAATTATTAACAGCGCCTCCTTCGCCCATCTGGCATGGCAGAGGAAAGGATTGGCGAATGAGCGTCTCTGCGTTGCTCGGTTGAGCGGCCTGAAGGAAAAGAGACCTGCAGTATGCCTCTACCGGTTTGTTTTAGGTGTTGCGACCACAGCCTGACATCTTCCGCGTTCAGACAAACAATCATTTGTACAACGCAATGGACGATCAGCATGAACGGGATGAACGAGACACAGACGCAGCAAGCTTCTGTCGTACTGAACATCGGGATGTCGGGATGTGGATAGCAAATAGCATGGACAAAGGCGAGGTCGAGCTCCTATTGCGACGCTGGCTGGACGAAGTAGAAAACCGATGTGCTGTATGCTTCGTGTATTGGTGCAGACTTTGGCCGAACCATATGCCCGAAGCAAACAATAACTATCTTCACGGCGGGCCTATCTGCGAGCCAGTGGCTGGTCGCGAATACCGAAGGATGCGCACGAAAATTCAGTTTGCCGACAATACATGCTGTTTTCATTGCAAGCTGCCGTCCGACTGGTGCAAGGAAACCAAGGATGAGAGAGGCACTAACCAATGTACCCATATAGACAAGGTATTGCTAGTTGTGCTGTCGGTCTTGGGGGATGAGGAGCTCTGTCGTTGGGTTATAGATAAGTACTAAATCGATCCAAGGAATAAAACCACGTGGTTTAATGGCTATCTAAGACGGTTATGTTTCACGACACTAACGGAATAAACATGTACTTGCTATGGGAGGCGATCATCCCCAAGATATACCGGACGAAAATGACAGCTAACTGGCCACAATATCGAATACCGACAGCACGAAATCATCAAGCAAGCCAAATTGATATTTCGGCCTATGCTGCTTCCACTCAACTTTCCATGTCGGTTGTCCCTTGCACAGCAACTTCGCACCCTTCCACAGATCGATCTCTTGCCATAACACCTAATTAGGAGGGGGCCGAGCTTGGCTTTATGCCATCTCCATCGGCGGGAGCTGCCAGTAGCACCAGCTTCAACTGTCAATCCACGGTTTGGATACCGGCCAAGATTGTAGATATCACGTGACCTGCTACGTGAAGCAAGCCAAACTCCCAGACCCCATGCCTTCACTAAGCACGAATATATCCCAGTTTCTGCATCTACACAATGATTAAAGCGCCAATAATTCCGGGGCGTATTGTGAAGACATTTCCAGTCAAACCGCGGTCACGACAGAACCAGCCTAATGAAGTGGTCCTTTGGAAGAAGCTCTATCTCGTAAGAGCGAGCTCCGGCGAGGATCTGGAGTCACTTTCCAAATTTAAACCGGGAGGTTACCACCCTATCCATATAGGAGATGTTCTAGATAGTGGTAGATATCGCGTTATCCATAAGCTTGGATATGGGGGTTTTGGCGCTGTATGGCTCTGTATAGATGAGTCTATAGCCTCACCTTCTCCAAGCTATGTCGCAATCAAAATACTACTTGCAGACGCGGGAGACGATGTAAATGGCGAAGAGCTATTGCGCAATGCGATACCTCGAAATGGTATCACTGAGATTGATGGTGCGCATCCCCTTCAACAGCTATGCCTCTCGTCACGACAGTTCCAAGCTTAAAGCAGCAACGGAGCGCATACCTGCCTGGTTTACCCTTGGCTAGGCCCATCAGTCGATACTGCGCGGGACATCTTTTCCGATATACATAAAACTCGACATATTTCACATCAGGTTACCGCAGCACTCGCAGCGATGCACCAGCTGAATGTGTGTCATAGATGAGCAGCGTTTCCTTGTGCGACAAATCACTTACTTAGACGGAAGTAGATTTTCGGCCTCCAAATATATTATTAGAGCTAGAATCTCTTAATGGCACAACACAACCTGACGTCCTTGAGTTGCTTGGTCATCCTGTTGAGCGACCTCTTCGCACTCGGGACGGATCCGACATCCCGAACGCGCCCAAATACCTCGTGCAAGCTGCAAGCTACACTGGGAATATTGTATCAAAAGTTGTACCGAAAGTGCGGCTGATTGATTTCGGACAATCGCACGATGCATCAAAGCCATCCAGTGGCTATGGCATTCCAATGAATTACGCGGCACCTGGGGTCATTTCTGGCAAACCCTGCAGCCTAGCTTCAGACTGTTGGTCATTGGGTTGTGTGATATACGAAGTGCGATTTGGGAAGCCACTGTTCAATATCCCACAGGTAATAGGTCCGTCTGAAGACTCCTATTTTGACGAGGTCACGTCCATATTAGGAGAGTCTTTGCAACCGCCAGCGCCGTTGTCGCGCACGATACTAGCAACTTTCCTTGATAGCAGCAAGCAAAATCTATATCAACATTTATGTCGTAACGAAGACACCTCGACAGCCGAGGCCGACAAATTAGCGGATTTGCTTGCGAATCTGCTTCGATACGATCCTGCTCTGCGGGTGGCCGCTCATGACGCCTTGGAACACCCATGGTTTTACACCAGGTACGACACAAGTGAGTGATATGGGCAGTGTATGGGATGCTTAGAGGTAGCTTTAGGTGCCCATTCATAGCATCAATCAGGAAGGAGAATACCCACGAGCACAGTCAAATCCAACTATACTTCAAGGAGAAATGCAAAATGGGTGAACTAGGGCCTACGAGTACAGGCCGTGGCGCCTACGAGCACAGTCAAAAAAATACGACTTTTTCGGTGCAGCCCCATACTAGAAAAAAGCCCAGTAGTCCATTTTACGCGCATTTTCTCAGTAGTGGAGTTATCCTATTTTTGTAAACTTATTTTGTATTTTTACAACGTCATAGCTCGCATATTGATGAACGTATTTTGTATTGTTGCGTTGGCCTGTCGGGTTTCTGGTGTGCATGGCCCTTCCGAGTATTAATACTTTAGGCTTATATCATATCTTTCTTCTTCATTCTGTTAATGGCTTCGGCAAGTGCCAAGACCTTTACTCCGAATTGCACCGCCTTACCTAGACAGACTACTGAGTAGCTATATCGTATGGCATTTCATTTGTTGCGCCAGGGAATCGTCCGGCTTACCAACCGACATGAGCTCTGGGTCGTTCTTGGGCTGCTTCGTTGGTTAGAGATCTGCTTGTCGTCGCTACTCCTTCCCCCCTTAGAAACGAACCTCGAGTCCTACTTGTTCCATAACAGAATCCAACCAGGAAGTGACGGTTTCGTTGAGACTTGGCTCACCAGCTGGTCACGACAATGACCTTCTTAAGTGCAATGTCGACGATATCACAGTCTGCCGGCGCCCGTTAACAGCCGAGTTTGTCAAGCAGGAGCTTGCCGGTCACGAGCCGGGAAGATTCATGAGCCGCACAACGACATACACGAAGTCATCTGATTATATCAATGCGCTGCTTATGATATCGGACAATCAGATATCGAAAGCCGACGCCCTTGGTCTAGACAGCCGATCGGTGTGGTTCGAACTCTACGCAAGAGCTCAGTTTGGGCGAATTCGCACCGCCATTCATGACAGTGAAGAACCAATGTTTTGCTTGGTACATGGGGATTCCATGATGCACCCATCGAACTTCCTCTTTGATGGCTACTTCAACCTGGTCGGTATGATTGACTGGGGAAAGAGCCGTGTGGTGCCGCGGCAATTTTTATGTGCACCAGCGTGGTTGTTTGCAACCTTCGACGCTATGGTGCAAAACATGGATAAATTCAACACCCTAACAAAGCCCTTCGCAGAGCTGCACGCGCCGCATTTCACTCCCAAAAGCACAACCTCGCTTTGGCTAGATGGCAAACAAGAAGCGAATTACGCTCTGGATGCAGCGGTTACGATGGCACTGGTCGAACCATGTCTAATGTATGATCTATATTGGACGACGATGGCCTCTCCTGCAGCTTGGAAAAGTACCTATGACTCATATACAGCATTCTTTTATAATGTTCTAGAGCCGGCGGTGTTGAGGTTCATGCAGCAGTACGCGGATGAGGATACGGTGACAGACATGGCTATGCGACAGGTAAATTATTGGATTACGGAGGACCCCCAAAAGAAGCGGGCATTTAAAGACCCCGAGCTGGATATTTTCTTGGTCCAAGCGCAGAACATATCAAGCAAGGCTTTGTCTTGAACGCTTCAAGGCGTTGGCTCGGAAATTCACCGGCTCGCTTTCTTGATTACACTATCATAAACGTCGTTCCCACCCAAAAGAAACATGAATCAAATGCATTTAATAGGTATATATTCCACTGTTTAACTTGAAAGAAAAAAGAAATAACAATTGGAATATTTATGGTGGCGATATGTTCGAATATGAGAGGGCGTAGCAAGCAGATCACAAGCTCGCACTGCTGGCTGCCGTCTGGTAGCCAGCTCAACTCTGTGTCAGCCCACTGTCCAAAGATACATGATCTACCAGTGAAAGTGCCTGGCCATATTCACCCCAACGACATCCGCGACGACTCGTCGGGGTAGTTCATGGTCACATCTACCAGCAATCACCAGCGTCCCGTTCTCAAGGTCATCGCGCAAGACAGTGGCAGGTTCCGTTAATTTTCGGCGCTAAAATACCTCAACTGTATTATTGAGCACTGAAAGTCATGAGATCGCGCCCAGATGAGCAGCTGTGGGGTTACAGCCAGCTAGCGTTGAACTCTAATTACGCGGAGGATGAACCATTGGTCAACGGCCATGGAAGCGTGGCCACGGCGCTTACACGATGGTGGCGTCGCCTGCTAGTGTGTCCTACTATGTATGGGCGTTACGCTCACAGCGAATGGGTTGCCCTATCCAATCATTCTAAAACTAGGCTATGGGGCCTTGCTTCAAAGGTGTAAACGGAAAACACAGGTTCAAAGTTGCCCAGTTTAAGGAGAAGCAGCGCTGTAGGGCGGCCAAAAAAGGTATATAAAGACTCACCAACCACTTTGTATATCGGAGACAATACTAGCGAAATCCTATATCAAGCACCTACCATACTTTAATTTACAAATCAATTCTACAGTATGGCTGCTACTATCGAAACCCCACTACGAAAATCACGTCGTCTCAACCAGTCAGATGCAGGTCACTCTTTGTTGGATCTAGGCGCACGTTTCGTTACGAAAGATCACAACAAAATCGATCAATTCAAGCTAACTTTACCAGAAAAGAATCGTACTGTCGAAGCGCTTACTCTTATCCTACAAGCCTTGCGTGCTTCCTGGGAAGCATCACCAGATTCTCTGGACAAAAATCATGATTTCATTTGGAATTTCCGCACCATACGACTATCGAAGAATGAATACGCTGCTCTTGTCTCTGCAATTCTGAGGTATCCCCTGACGAGGTATAACTTCGAAGGAGTGTCCTATGACTGGATTCCTGCTACTGACAATCACGGGGCGCTCAGCGTACGCAATGAATGCAGTTTCCAGAGTCGAGTCACCCGGTATCTATCAGATCGTATTACAACAGCAATGTCTGAGAATAGTGTACTGGGGGTGTTAGTCGACATGATCGCCTTTAATACAGAGGTTCGCGTGCCAGTTCTGAACGATGGGATTGAGGGCCGGCGTACACCATCGGCATACTTTCAATTCATACCAAAAAAGAGAAGAGCTTTTCGAACATTTATGTATGATGTTCAACAATTCGTATTGGAGTTAGGCATGGGTGAGAAGAACAAACACCTGGCAGAGATGGCACACTCATACGTTGCGAGGGGCACGCTATGCGTCATGACGGTCAGCGTCGAGCGACAAGGAGCTTTTGACATTAGCTGGACGTACTCACTTTATCGTCGCGGAAAGGCGAGATACTTCGAAGGACTCATCATCAGTTATGAAGTTATTTGTGACGTGGAAAACGCACAGATTCAGCCACATGGTAATGGGGAGAGGGAGGCACACGGGGCATTGACACTCTATGACTTTGTTCCGCCCTCCGACTTGAACGATACTGACATAAGTGATCAAAACGATAAGAGAGCGCTTATTATTAGCGGTTGTGATCTGCGCCTAATGTTTTCGACAGATCCATGCCAATTTTTGCGCTTACCAAGTTCAAATGCTGGTAATTCTTTATCTGGTCATTTAACAGCTCTTGAACAGTTATTGTAGACTTTACGTACTATAAACAGGCATTAAACATACGAAATATCTTGAGATTATCGCTAGTTATAAACACGCTGAGTGGCATGTATTGCGACGCACTGACTAATTAGTGCGTATTTCAATGAATTAAGACGCGCTCTTGTTTTGGGAGTAGTGGTAGGTGCTTCAATGAGCCGCCACAAGGGCCACAAGGGCTTGTATATTTTGGATTTGCCGATTATCTCATATAGCTAGTTCCTTTTACGCTGAAGATCCATTTCTTTACCTAGGCTTACGAAAATCTAGTAGTGCGTAAAGGGCCACGACTCATTTACGACGCTGCAATCGTTATAAGCATACGGAGAATAGAGCTTAGCATAACTGTCAAGTCGACCTATTATAGTAATGCACTCAGAAGATGCCAAATCTAGCCCCCTTTGACTATTGGTGTCAAAGCGCAAGTCCATCTCTACAATAGCTACCTCAAATAGCCTGACAGATAAAGAAAGAACGGCTGTGGCGTGAGTCCAAAAGCAACAGTGTAGGTGCGGTAGATGCGATTCCATTGGCAACATAAGGCTATTCAGAACAGTGCAAACAGGTTCGCTTTATGCTCGAATATCCATATTAATAGTATGGTCTACATTATACGACTTTAGGACCTCCATCGTGGAAGCTCATAACATTAGATACGGCGACATAGAGACACGCCATAAACCGCGGCGGTCGTATTAACGAGGCGTTTCCATGTCTAGAAGTAAATTACAACAGCAAGAACATAAAACCGCATCTTTTATCCTACACTTGCTCTATGAGGCAGTCGAGATCGACGGCAACTGCTGTCTAGGTCTAATATGCCGTCATGCCGTTCTCTTCAGCGGTGGCAGGTGCAAGAGACCAGCGAGGAGTGGCAGCGTCCTGGAGAGGTCCAACAAGGTGCAGACGATAACAATACATTCCTCAGGGACCTGCGATTGCTCGAGTTCGCTCGAGAGATCGCTTGAGAGAAGAATCATGCCGTAGTAGCGGCAGCGGCACAGTAGGTGAACGCTAGGGGTGTTGATGGCTCTCTAAAACGGGGGGGAGATGAAAGTGCTGAAGACAAGGTACAGCTCATGGCGCTGTGTGAGAGCGTGAAACGCGCGGTGCCGCGACCCATACTACGGCGTCTACACGGTATCGAAGAGGGCAAGAGTAACCCCATAACGTTCAGGATGAGCGAGAATACAGGTGCTCTGCAAAAATACGGCGTTCTTTGCGAGCGATATATCTGCCTGTGCTGGCGGGTGTCTCGACTCGGAAGGGATCAGGTGCAGGCTACGATAGACATGCGGTTCACAGACGAGCAATGGGCCTGCTGTGCGATGTGAATCACGAACCACGAAGGGTGGATGGTACTAGCGACGACGAGAATGACGATAGTGCGTGTGGCAGCGGTCACGGCACGACGGATTACGACAGTAAAATAGAGCATTAAACTCGAAGCAGCCAACCTATGCAGCGACTCATAGCAGATGATAGTGCGTTGTACTAAGAGCCATTCGCCTTCATAATCACATCGATGAAAACAAGAGTCAGAGTCGGCAGCACTGCCTACACAAACGCAATGCTCTGCATTGTAGCAACCACGGCGATCGGGACCGGCGGCGACAGGTTCAACCCAACGAGCCAATTCACGGCCATACTAGCAGCAATTATATAGATAGTGCGTCTGTTCTTTTTAGAGCACACCTTTAGCGATACACAACTAGATACGGAAGATATCTCTATTGAGCAGATAGACTAGTTTAAGACCACTTCTACCCTTGAACTTGGAATACGGAAAACTACCCTCGACAAGCAACTGGTAAACATGTATAACTATGATTATTTTACTCGCTGTTGTTGGGATGGGAGCATTGGTAACGTCGCCCAACGTAGCCGCGATCTGCAAACGTGTTTTGGTCGCATGTGGCCATGATGTTGGCTACGCATCCGAGCTCGGCAAATTTTGCTGGTAATCCGCTGGTTTCGACGCGAATAATATACTGGAAGGAAGTGATCTTCGCCCAGAAATCACCTAGTTTCGACTTAGTAGAACAAATTCGACAGCTCATTTTGTGACGTGCGAAGCCAATTATCTCGTCATGGAAATAGGACATCCTCGACCTCAACAGCGAGTGAAGTGGTTATCACAGTCGGACATGTTTATTGGTTGTTTATCGAAGGTAGGTCATCTCTCTGCACTGTAGATTTCAACACCGATGTACTGGGTTCGGGTCGCTATTCACTCATGGGCATCGTAAAACAGGCCAATCTATTCTAAACGTCTCAGATCAACATCAAGATTGCGCAGAACGCCGTCGAATATCTCTAACACAGATGGTCCGTAACGTGAATGCGAGAGATATTCGTTTATGGTCGTTTATGGTATGCTTAAAGGAATTGTAAATTTGCGCACTTAATACGTATCTTGTTGTCTCATATTGTGTATCCGAGCCTTATCATCGCACGTGCCTATGTGTTCAATATGTTAAATACAGGAGATGGGCAACGCGGTGGGAGACGTTGCACTTGTGTATGCCCGTAGAACAAACCTATAATGCGTAAATTGCACTGCGAGAACTCAATTTCATAGGTTATATATGCATTAAACCGACTCTTGCTTAACCAGAATCACCATTTGATTGCTCCTCGTCGAAAGATCAAAGTGCCCTATTTTGGCCACCAAATCACTGAGTTTACGAAAGCCGTATATCCGAGAGTCAAAATCGGGATGTCGCTTGACAATCAAATTGCCAACATCGCAAAGTGCCGCTTAATTGTCATCACTTGATGTAGCGTGTATTTCTTTTCGAACGAGATCTGCCGCTTGAATTGCCTCACGCGGCAGATCTGGGGAGGATGGTGCTTCCACATGATGTTCTTGGTCCTCGACCAGGACGCTTCCTGGCTTCAAATTCTCAACGTAAATAAATTTATCACAGGCTCCGTGGCTGTAATAACTGGCTATTTTGCTAGTTCTATCTCTCCAATTCAACGTAACGCTTGAGTGACAGTCCTCGAATCCTGAAACGCACTTCTTGTAGCATAGCTTCAATATGGGTTTTCAGAGAGCAATCGTGATATACCAAACTTTGGGGCAAATTCCGTGGGACGAATTTATTGGTCGATTGCTTTTTGTTGCTTTTTCTACTTGCCCAGTCGTGTCCATAGCCATTGGATCTCTCATTTCGCCTATCCCAGATGTCGAAGTGGTCTTGACTGCTGTTGCAATCCACGAAGATTGTAGACGATTGAAAGCTGCTGATCTCTTCTATAATGGAATTCAGACTGCGGCCAACGAGAGCAACATCTCGATTTCCGGAGACATTCAAGATACCAATAGAGTTCATTTGCCGAACAAGAGCTCCGAGGAGCATTTCTGTGCACGCATTTGGGCAATCTCTCGGCGCAGTCAGAAGCTCTGCTACTTTTGCGTCTAACTTTGAAAGTAAGTACTGAAGGAGATCCTGTCTATCTTGCTCAATATCGTCTAAGCACTCCGTTAGCATATGATACGAAACCCGCGAAATGTTTCCTATTGCATACCCATGATTTTGCGAAGAATTGGTAGGCCGTAGTCATCAATAGAACCAGTTGTATTGAGTACAGCTGTATGCGTTGCCCTTTCAAAAATTTCCGATTCATGGAAGACAGATGCGATAAAAATCCACTCGAACAGCTCCTTCGATAAGTCTTCCATAGGTGAGGTGTCTAGTTCGCGAAGCCATTTCTTGGCACAAAACCATACTGCGTCAGCGCATTGTAAATCATCAACAACTGCTGATATCTCCGCCAGCATTTGAAGTGTTATATGTTCCGGTACGCTCTTCGTGCGTCCGTGAATGATAAAGAGGACGGTTTTAAAAGCCTCTATGTCGAATATCGCGTCAAAGGTCCATTTTCGATATCCGGTCGATTCGTCTTGCTCAGACTCAGAAAACCCAAGTTGAAACATTTTTCCCGCTCGTTCTGATGCCATTGTCAAGTGCTTCATAGATACTCTGAACGTCGCATGCAGCAAGTCTCCGGCCGCGTCGGCGGTCTCGTCGACTAGTTTTTCGACATTTAATACACGCAGAGTAAATATTGAATCGGAGGGTGTACTTACTATCTATCGACGATAGCGAGCGTGGTCGGTTAGTCACCGAGCCATTTCCAGCATCGAGATTCGGTGGTTCCTCAGCGAGCTTCGGGGAACTTCCTACGTTTTCCGTCTCCCATGCTAACTTGGAAGGTACGACTATAAGAAGATCTCCATCGGAGTCAATTTCGATTATTTGTGAGAACATGGCTAGTTACTATAAGGTGGAAGGTACCAGCTGTAACGACCTATGCTACCCCGCATTCGCGCCTGACACACCCAAGCTTCTATTGGGGAGAAAAAAGGTGGTTTTTGGTGGACGCCCATTGTAGGAAAAAAAAATCAATAGTCTATTTTACACATATTTTTACAAGAGTGGGGTTATCCTATTTTTGTAAATTCATTTTGCATTTTAGAAGGTCAGAGTTCGCATATTGATAGATCTATTTTGTATTTTTGCGTTGGAGCGGGATCGCTGGCTGGGGCGGATCGATCGACCAAGCTGTGGAGGCGGATCTATAACGGACAACTACGAAGTGTAACATGATTTTAGACTGAGAAAGTAAGAAAAAGAAACTCAGAAATAGAAATTAGGAAATGCAAAAAGAGAAATACGATCCTCGACGATAGTAGAAATGAGGAGTAGAAAGTAGAAAATAGAAATAAAACTTCAACAGGTAACATAAAAAACAGGGCAAGACAGCCGGGAAATTAACTGACCATTTCCTTAAAATAGACACAATTTAATTTTGCATACCCATTTTGCATATTAATGGTCGCATCTCGCATTTTATATTCCGGCGGTGCGCTCATTGCTACAGCAGGTCGCTAGATGTAAATCCCCGCTGCTTTCTCGTAGAATCTGAAGACATGGGTCCCTTGCCTAGGTGGTGTCACGACCTACTGGATAGCTCTATAGTTCATTAGTGATCTCCTCCTCAAGAGGCACAGAAACGGTCCAGATATTATCTACAGGCTTGGCTACGAATGTAATGAGGAAAAGCTGCTGATTCCCATACTGATTCTTTGCCAATCCCTACCGACGGTGAACGGCCTCGCTGCCAGTATCCGTCGCCATGATACGGCCACTGACATTTGGTCGGCGTCGCTTGTCGTGGAGACTATCTTGGAACACGCAGGGTCCATGAGCCACCTGTGGCCGAACTTAAAAGGTCTTTAATGGTAAGCAATCCAGAAGTTGTGCACTCACCTCGAACTAATTGGGCTAGGCTACGGCGGGACTTGTTGGACATGATTTTAGTCGTCAACAGTGTCTGGTATGACTATACCACCGGCTTCTCGGATGACTTGGATACCACCTCCGACGACTGGTAAGCCAGAGCATATTTAAAGCTGAGCTTTTCTCGTCATCATTTTCCCTAACTAGTCAATAGGGATCATGTAGATAGTGATGCTGATTGCCACGGCGTTGAGCCGGCCTTGTCTCCATGGTACGTCTGGCCTTTGGTTTCTAGAGGTATCTCCATCCACTTACACAGACATTTTTCTACGGCGCAGGATATACAGCGGGCGATGAGGCCGTTTCCAGTATCGTACCTCATCATGCCAGAGACAAGGGTTCTGTGCCTCCTGGTCTCACCCAGGCCATGGGGCTCCTTGATATATCAGGATCGAATACCCCTAACCAGGCGGGTTTCCGCTACGAAGGGGGCTCGCCACGGGTGTGCCTCCCGCCATATAAGCAAACAACGGCGGACATAAAAATGCCTCCTGGTTTGTCTTCTCCTAACATGCACTTAGGATTCCAGGTTCGTTTTTTTACAGAGAGAATGGACGTATCGGCTCAGATGAGAAAGCGGGCATGCGGTTCACGGACGAGCAATGGGCCTCCTCGTGTGACGTACATTATGAACTAGAAAATCTGAACGGCATTATATTGGCACTGACGAGAATGGCGACAATGGGTTTGAAGATAGCATCCACCGAGAAGGAAGTCTTTTCTGCGTGGTTCACTTCACGGCTTAACAGAATGAGACGCCTTCCACCAGCTAGGCAAGCCGTTGAACAAGCCGACAGACAGCTGCGTTTTCTTATCGTGTGGCATATGGTGCTTGTACCTGCATCCTTCCGGTCTATGCTCAAATTGGCAGGCTCCATGGTGGATCTAATGCGTGTAAAAGCCTTATCCTTCCCCGTGGGTGAGACCGCCTCTGCCGCGCCAGGAAATCCTCTGCTGGCGTGTTGTGCCGCGTTCCGGGGCTGCTTGCTCTAAATTCAGGGCATTCCACGAGTCGTAGTGCTTGATCATCTGCCGAAATCCAACGAATAAAAAGACCTTCTAAAGTGGCGCCATCCAGGGGTTTCTCATAAGGAGTTTCCTCAATAAGCTTCCGCTTCTTCGAAGTATTAAACCCAGCCGAATTCATAGCCTCTTGAATAGACTGCTGCTGTTGCTGTAGTCGTTTTTCCGTTGGAGAGTCTGCGTGAAGAGAGTGGTACTTGTTCAAGTGCTTTTCGATATTAACGGTGCCCGCAGAGATATAATATTCCTTTGTCTTGCCTGCCTTAGCACAAGGTCCACAGGGCCAAATCTCAATTCCATCCTTATTATAGAAGACAGTCTGTGCATCCGGAGTACCAGCCATGTGATTATAGACCCAAGACGTACGCTTCTTCTTCATTTTCGTGATTGTAGAGTATGGAGTTGAGGATTGAGAGGCTTCAAGGGATTCGGGATTCGATTCGCTCATTATATCGTCGAATAAAGCAGGATCGAGAAAAGATAGTATTGTTGAAGTAAGGGATACAGGGCGAGCTGGCAATGCTAATTCCGACTCCGATTCGTCGGTCATAGGTAAGGAGGCATTGCGACCGAATAGGAGACGTGATTGATTGGTACGACGCTTGGGGGCTCCATGGCCTCGTAGTTGAGAGGACATAGTCGCGTTATAGCGCTGTAGACGATTGGAAGATGAGTATGAATATCCTTATTTACGTGAGGCAGAGAGATAAACTTTTATTGGAGGCGATCTCGAATTTTGGGCTCAAATTCACGTGAGCTAAACTGTAACGGTCTCAACTGAGTGTATTGACAACTAGTTGAGCGACTACTACGAGTATCCGAAGATAAGGAAAGAAAGAAAGGGGCAAGCTCATCTAGAGCTTGCAGGGATCCTGGTCGAGAGGAGCCCGAGATCTTCCACGGGTCTAGCCTGTTGTATAAACTGCAGTTTAAACTGCAGTTGTGCCTACCTGAACTGCAGTTTTTGCAGTTCAAAACTAGCGTCTGTAAAATATTATCCAGTACGTTTTGCATTTACAAAAACCGAACTAGTCCGTTCAAACTGCAGTTCGAACTGCAAAACTGCAAAACTATCGACCACCCTGGCATCGAGTGGCAGCGAGCATGCCCAGCAGAACGACAGCACTACGAACACGTCTGATGCTAAACAACTATGGAGGAAACATCGCCGGCTCGAGTGTTCTAACGTGGCAATAAGCTTACCGCGCTATTGAAATGCAGCGTGCAGTATGTATTTTGGCGCAATGGCCGGTTATATTAATACGAATTTAAATCAACGATTCCCGCTAAAATAATCACTTCCCAACATTCTCTACCTAAAAGGTATAGCTTGTTCTCTATAAATCCTCCAGCAACTCAGCCTTCATCTTTCCCAGAGCTATTAAATCTCCCTCCTTGGTGTTTTGCAGATCAGGGTTGAGATACTCAGGGGCAAACCCGCCACCATAGTCGACCACAATTGCATCCCCCGCCAAGTTGACCATGACATTTTTGAGCTGAGCATCGCCCCAAACAATTCCATATGCGTGAAGCCTGTGCACCGTTTCCTCTACCTGGCTTATCCATCTCAGCCTATCGATCTTCGACGCCTCAAACGCAGCTTCGTATAGCATACAGCCCTCTATTGGGTCAATGAGGAACCCTAGGAGACTGTCTTCGTCATCCCATTTAACCAGGCCAACAAGTTTTGAAGTGCGTGATCTTAGCTGGTCGTCGGAAATACTCTGAAGTTTCGTCAGGCAATCGAGCTCCCTTGAAACACTAGGTCCGTCGCTGTCTGCTTTGAAGAAGAAGACCTCGTTGGTGTTGATACAGCGGACTAATTTTGGCTGCAGAGACATTTCGTCCTCTATTGATCCCGGTTTATCAGCTCTCGTAAGTTGTGATGCCAGGAAAACAGGTAACTTAGGGAGAGTAGACCGAAGAATAGAATTTGTGTTCACATCTTCAGGCCAGATATCCACAAAGTTGGGTTCAATTTTGACATCTACAATAGCGATGCGGGGACTGGGGTCCTTGTGAATAGTCGGATTGAAGGCCAACTGAACCGGTTGGACAGTGCCTCTGTTGTTGGTCAACTCGAAGAAGAATGTCGCAGGCTTAAAATATTCGAGCAGGTGTGCTGGTTTGAAGGATACTGAAGCGGGGGGGATTAACACTTTCAGATGTTCAAGGAGCGCATCGTAAATCCAATCTTCGAACTCAATCATGGCGTCCTCATCATCGATAGTCTCGCAAAATCGTCTCAGCGTATCTGCCAGATTACCTTCGCCTTCAAGCTTTTCAACCGAGGCATTGATGAAGAAGCGTCTATTGCAGCACATGAAAATATATAAGATATAGTCCCTGGTTGAGATCATTTCTAATGTGGAAAAAGAGTATAGAGAGTTGGGTAATTCGTTCTCGGAAGCCATAATTCCTATTAGAATTACTTGCATGGTCTGCCGGAAGTCGTTTGGGTCGGACGTTGCAATGAATAAATAGAAATCACAATTCTTTTAGCCGCTAAAAATAAATATCCGAGTTGGTAACTAGTCCCGATCAAGACATAGAAGAAGGTCGAGTCCAAAAAAACGATCAAAACGTAGGAGTAGGTACAAAAAGGGCCAAACGCACCCACGCACCCACGCTATTATTCCCTCTGTTCTAGTCTATTGTAGTGCCCGCGCCCCGCTATTTGCTTACTCTAGAACAAATCTAGCATTTTCCTCTTTTTATCTATTCTATCCATCCGACTAGTCTTTTTTCTTCTTTTTTTTCACATTTTTCTCTATCTCTTTTTTATTATATTTTATTCATTTTAGCTAAAAGGAAAGTATAATTAGGTTCTTTATTTCCTTGGGGACTTGACTTGGTTAAAATCTGTGTCATTTTGCTCTAATTCTTAAACTATAACGTGGTGGATAAGCGAGCGGACCATATAGGCGAGCGGACCACTTTACGGCATTTAGCTAGGTAGCTGCAAATAAAAATTCTTTTGTAATACTATATTAACATTTCCGTGATGTTTGATGAACGGGATATTATTCTAGCCTTATCGGCACTTAAAAAGAATCCGAAATTAAGCATTCGGAAGTGCGCTAGTATCTATAATATACTATATAGTACACTCAGAGCTCGGTATTCTAGCCGCCCAGCACGAGCTAATTCACTACCGAATTCACGCAAATTAACGGATCTCGAAGAAGAAACTATTATTCATTATATATTTGATCTTGATTCAAGATCATTTCCGCCAAGAAAGAGCTAGGTTGAGCAAATAGCGAATCTATTACTCAAGCAGCAAGATGGCGGAGTTGTTGGCAAGTACTAGGTAACAAACTTCATTCAGCGTCAGCCACAGCTCTAAACACGGCTATTAAGACCAATTGACCATCAACGAGTACTTTGCGAAGATCTAGTAGTCTATCAGTCCTGGTTCAAACTCGTTCAACGAACGATTAGCTAGTATAGTATTACTAAATCCGATATCTACAACTTTGACGAAACTAGCTTTATAATAGGAATTATTACGTCAAAAATAGTAGTTACACGAGCTGATAAGCATAGAAAGCCTCGAATAACACAGCTAGGCAACCGAGAATAGACTACAGTAATTAAGAGTATTAGTTTAAATAGATTTATTGTACTACTATATATTATTATTGCTAGTAAGATACATCTTGAATCATGGTATAGTAATTGTATATTACCGTCTAATTAACGTATTACAGTCACTTCTAATAGATGGACTACAAATGAAAAAGGCCTAGAATAGCTTAAATACTTCAATAAGTATACTAAATTATGTACGAAAGGATAATATCGGCTCTTAATTATAAATAGCTATAAGAGCTATTATTTAGCCGAATTCGAAATGTTTTGCAAAGAGAACTATATTATTACTCTTTATATACTAGCTTATATATCTTATTAGCTTTAACCTCTTGATATTGTCTATTTTAATATATTAAAATAAGTATATTATAATAAAATTAAGAGTTTAGTGCGTATATATATTATATATATTATAAAGGAAGATTTCTTTACATTATTTTATACTATATATAATAAATTAATAATATTAACAAATATATAATTAGCTTTTAGAGCAGCTAGTATTGTTCTTTTTAATCTAAATTATATGATTTTATAATTAGATATATAGCTATAAACACTATCGCCTTAATTATAGCCAACTTTATTATAAATCTAGAACCTAAAAACACTAAATAATCTAATTGAATTATAATTATAGACTGAATATTTATAAGATCGGATTCTTAAATATTAAGATAGCTTACTAATACTAATCTTAAATAGTTTATAGTAGATTATAAAGAGTACTAGCTGAATAATATATAAAACTATATTAATCTAGAATAAGGTCGAATAACTCTAAAAGGTAAATATATATCTTTCTTAACGCTATAAAGTATCAAAGAAATATCTATAAGATAGTAGATCTTTTATAATAATAGATATATATATAATTCGAGCTTAAATAGAGATAAATTTATAACTATAAATAGAAATATAAGTAAATAATCGAATTATAAGACAATAAACTAGACTTATTCGATATTATATAGTATATAAGAATACTAGATATAATTCAAGAATATATATAATTACTTAGATAGCTCTAAGATATTATCTTCTATATTTTAATATATATATTTATTTACTATAGTATTTTAACTAAATTTTAAATTTATAGTATCTTCAAAAATAGTTCGCTCGCTTATATAATCCACTCGCTTATCTACTATGTTATTATATTATTATAATATATAAAAGGGTATATTATATTATATATATTACTATATATTATTTTATTATTATATTATTTACTATATTATCTTCTTTAAACTAGTACTAGGAAACTTCTAGCTTCTAGACACGAGCGCTTTCTCTTTTAAGCTAACTAAGACGCTAAAAATCACCTAATATACTAACTACTAGAATTACTATGCTTCGACTAGGTATATAGCTCTAGAAATTTATAAAAACTATAATTAATAAACAAGCGATAACTATAAGCCCGACTTATATACTCGATTCACGTAATATATATTATATTATAAACTATACCCTCTAGATAATAACAAGTGCTTCGTAAAGCTAAAGAAGTACGAAAATAGACTTTATAAACTCTTAAAGATATAGTATATATATACTAAACTCCTTAAGTTATAGGTATTTTACTAAATATATCAAGAAAATATACTCTTTAGCTCTCTAAATAGCTAGGCTTTATCTACCCCTCTCTCCTCTACCTCTAGTATTAAAACCGCTAACCTTTAAGAAAACTCTAATATTAAGATCCTAGATACTCTTAGAGATACCTTTACTATAAATAACAAGAATAATAAAAATAATAAGAATAATATAAATATAGCTCTCTTTAATAAGGAGAGTAAGGCTAAACAGGACAAATATATTCTTATAGTAAAGAAGCTTATTAACTTTAGACTTAAGAATATAATTAACTCTACTCAACAACCACGGACTAGATCTATAAGTAGATCTTGCTTAAGTAGTAAGAAGCCTAGATTAAAAACTCGTCCTTTAAAAGATAAACAAGTAGTTAACTAAAAACTAAACGCTTTTAGACACGTCGAAATTTCGCTTCTCTCCTCTATAAATAAGTGTATTCTTATAAAAAATATATATCTTAAGACTCTACTAGTAGTTACTTTAAAGAATACTATAATAATCGAAGCTACTAATAAGAAAGACTCTAACTTAGACTTAAATAACCCTAGTAAGCTAGGCGAGATCGAAGCTATAAGCTAGAATATTATTTATACTTCTAAGCTTAAAATAGCTAAAACAACTATAGTAACTAGGCCTTAATATCTACTTATAAGACTAGTTATACTACCCTTTAAGATAATAAAAGAGAAAGTAAAGTAGCTAGCTAAAATACTCTAGTATAGTCTACTAAGTAGCTCTTTATAACAAGACTAATCTTTAATAAAGAGAAATAAACTTGTTTATTTTAATAAATAATTAATATTATTACTATTACCTTAGAGAACTATAAGTATTCTAAGTAAATATTAACAAGAGCTAGTTTAGCTATAACCTTACTTTATATCTAGTATATATATTAGATTATAAGGTTATTCTTATCTAAGAACTATATATATCTTTTAACTCTAAATAATATATCTATTATATATAGTAGTACTCTATTTATAAGTACTTCTTATCTATTAATACCTAGAATTCTTATAGTATTTATTCTAGAGTAATAATATATATATAAATTTTACTATATATAAGTGTAACTTAAGCCTATAACTTTAGCTATTATAATATAATTAAGATTAAGGTTAATAAATTTATAATAATTAACTTTTATAATTAAGAATCTACTAGACTTAATATACTACTTTTTTAGACTTCTTTACTAGATATACTAGTTATAAAAGACTTTAATACTACCTACTCGATATAGTAGATAATAAAACCTACTATATATAATAAGTATTATATTTTAGAATAGATAGAAATTAATAATCTAGCTTTATTAACTAAGATTAACTCCTTTATTATTATAAATACTAGGTTATAATAGACTATCTTAATAATTAACTTAATATTCTTTAATATTCTAGGCTTAATAATAACTATCGAAGAGTATTTTACTATAGAAGTTCTATATTATATAATCTTAGTCGAGATTTTATATATACCTTCCTCTTTAGCAAGTATAAAGAAATTTCAACTATCTATAAAAAAAGAATATATATACTTTATAAAGCTAGTCTAAGCCTTAATTATAGCACTTTCTATAACTATTAATTATATTTAAAGAGCTAAATAACTAGCTAGAGACTTAATAAAGATTCTAGACTTTATAATAAGAATAGTAGACTATTAAGTAATAGATTAATAGCTGAAATTTAAACTCTAGTAGAATAATAGCTATAAAGAAGTATATAATACTCTTTATATTATTAAAATCGCTTCTAGAAACCTAATAGGTCTAGAAGTACAAATAGTAAAACAAGACTTATAAAGGGTAATTAAGAAAGCTAGAAAGAAGAGCTTCTAGGATTTCCTCAGGGGGATTAAAGATAAGAGTAATATTTTTAAAATAATAAGTTAAATTAAGCTAAAGGTATTATTATTATTATTATTATTAGGCTAATGGAAGCTATCTAGCTTATCTAGCTCTAACTATATATATTATAGGGGAAAAACAAAGAAAAACCCTATATTTAGGTTGGCCGCGGTGGGTCTATGCCGGTGTCGTGGAGGGTCCAGGCCGGAGACGACACTGGACCGGTTAGTAGGAGACAAAGGTTAGTAATACAAGAAGAGAAACAAATATACAGGTAAATAAAGCTATAAAGAACAAACAAGGAAATAGTAGTATCAATTAGTCGTTCCCTGTCCAGGTCGGCTGTCGTGGGCCCGGTGCGCTGCCGTGAGGTAGCCGATTCGGCCTGTGTCTAGTAGCCATCGCGCTAATCGCGCGGCATCGTCGGGTTCGTCGAGGGCCCGGCGAACAGCCGCCTCGGTCGACAGCGACGGACGGTCGTAGAGTTCGCAGTGTAAGAACATATGGAACACGGTCTCCCGCCCGGATCCGCAG